GATAAATAAATGCAATAAATGAAGTAACCACAATTTTATTTAATATATGAATATTGTTATTTTTACATCAATAAAACTATACTATATGGATACACAACTCAATATTAATAAATTGTTACATCTCAAAATGACCACCCTTTTTGAATAAGGTCAATGGGTCTATTTGGGTGTTGGAGTATTGGGCCCTTCCAATATTTTCAATTGGGCAAAACACCTTTGAAGTTCATTTAATCGATTTGGACTCAGCATCACCCTAAGAGTTGTTTGGCAACAAAAGCCCAACAAAATCTCAGACTTGTTGGCAAAGAACGTTTGTATGGGAAGCTTAAGAAAAGTTGAGTCTAAGTTTAGCTTCTCATCCTTACCTACAACAAAGAATAAACAAATCACNAACGTTTGTATGGGAAGCTTAAGAAAAGTTGAGTCTAAGTTTAGCTTCTCATCCTTACCTACAACAAAGAATAAACAAATCACTAGTTACCCAATTAAAATCCAATATAGATAGGAACTCAATAACCTGTACTATTGTTCGAAACACTAGACGAAATTTGAACTTTACTAAGGACAACAATTTTGTGCCCACATCTGAGGGATTGCACTGTGAAAGAACTTTTGCAAGTCGTACTACATTTTGAGACACAATAACTCTAGTAAAATGTAATCTGACATTAATTATATTTAGTGCGCTCATGAAATACATGTTCTTACACAAACATATTACAAATTGACCATCAAATTATATAATCACATTGTAATACAAAATGCACAATTTTTTAAGTAAACCTCTAAGCTATAGAGCTTTTTTAATTGCTTCAGCAGTGGCATTATATTTCAATTTTATTGAGGATAGTGCAATTATGTGTTGAAGAGACTTCCAACAAATGTATGAATCACAAAAAGTAAACATATAAGAGGAAGTAGGCTTCTTATTATCCATATTTCCACATATTCCACATCTACAATATTAATTAACTTCGTAGCCTGATAATAAACTTAAACATTAGACATACATTACTCGTTCCTCTCAGATATCTAAGCAATGCACTTCAGAACCTATCAATGATTAGGACTAAAATTCGACATAAACTTAGTTCATACTATAAAATACATAATAGAACTATTTGCATTTAAATATTGAATACTCCTCATGTATTCTACTATGTACTTGACCATTAGCAAGTGATTAATCCTTAGAAAAAATAAAATGATTTCATAAAGGCAATGTAACAAACTTACGTTTGTGCATACCAAATTTCTTTTACACTTTGAAAACATAATGAATTCGTTGCAAAACAAAAATGAATTTGCGATACTCCTATCTATTTCCGTGTATAGGATCCTTTTAGCTTTTTCTAAATCCTTCATGTCAAATTTTCTGCTCAATGATTTTATCTCATTTATCAACTTCATAAAAGAGTCAATCAAGATTGTATCAACATACAATAATAAGAATACACAATCAATATTAACATTATTATTTTGATAGTATAAGGAATAATTAAATTACTCCTTTGAAAGTCAATAGTTCGGATAAATGAATCAAATTTCTTATACTACTATCTAGGAGATTGTTTCAAATCATACAATTGTTGGAATCTACTTATCATGCGCAGCGGAAATAAAAACGGATTTCAATTCTCACCAAAATTCATCTTTGTGTTTAGATAGGAATTGTGATAGAGAATGTACCTTTTTCGAGATCTGCAAACTCCTTTGCTATCCAACAAACTTGATTCCCCACCCACAGCTGTCCAATTGTCCAACCTCCAACGGTGATCCACACAGAAAACAAAATTGTAGGATTATGATTTTTTTTCTTCTTGTGCTAGCAAGAATGAATTCTTTATAAATTGAAAACCCTAATAACTTATTTATATAAGCCCAAATGGACTTGGCCTGATCCGATCAAATATTTAATTAATCCATTTAATTAAATTCGGCCCGTGAATTAATTAATCCAATTAATTAATTCAGACCTATAAATAAGCAATCTAATTAATTATTTATCCAACCGTTTGTTAAATTAATTAATTGACAAATAACAATCTTTCAGTTCTCCTTTTGTGTGCGACCCATCAGGTTCCCGATCACAATACCTGACGACGTGAAATATTATTTTAATCTAATCAAAATTGATAAACTAAAACATTATTTTAATTTATCATCAATTCACAATCGTTGTCCCAGATTGACATCTAGCAATGTGTGAGGACAATACATGTGACATGAAATATCACGTGGTATAACAAAATCAAACTTGTTCGTTTATGGTAAAATTATAATCCTTTCATCAATATGATCCGATCAATTACGAGATATGAAAGTGTGTAAATCTCGATCGTTGATCATATCTTTCATTCCACTATTAAGTCTATATAAGTTGAAAACCCCTTTTCGACTTCTAAATATACATTGGCCAAGGATTTCGTTACAGACTTAATTGAATGAAATGCAAATCATAATCTCTTATTATCTAACAGTGACAAGTGCTCTATTGGTCATTTACAACCATTATATGATTCCTGACATACTCGAACGATACCGTATTAGTGACCCTTGCAGAGCAACATCCAACACCGTCAAAGTATGACTGTCCTCATACAAGACACTATAATGACCTCAAGTCAAAGGATCAATTTCACTACCGAACGTTAGAGATTAACCACTGACACTCAAATAGTTATTCATATGGAATCTCTTAGCGGGTCTCCAATGTTTTATTCTATAACAAAATATCAACGTGTTTATTTAAGTGTCACCACACTTTAACTTATGAGATCAGCTACTTACTTCACAAGTAAGAAATGCTACACATGATGGTTTATCCGTAATAACGATATCTGTATCTCGTCATTACTTACGACTGTGGATGATTTAAGATTCAATCATATGTAATTTGTATCTCACAATCACAACTCCTTGTGATTAACAAATTACTAAGATTTAAATCTACAAATTCCATTATTTAATTCAATTGAATATTAATTAATTAAATAATAGATCTACCATAAACCGCATCAATTATATATTAAAAGTGTTTATGTTCAAAATCAATTGGATATAGGATATAACACTTACAACAATAACCTTTTAATGATCAAGTTTTGTTTATCTTTAAAATCTTGTAGTTCATTCATAAAGATCTTTTCATTAAGTTCACCATGTAAGATTGTAGATTTAACATCAACTATTCAAGTTTTCCGTCAAAATACACAATCAATGCAAGCCTGGTTCTAATAGTACTACAATTAACAAATAGAGAAAATATATCATTTAATCTACCTCTATTTTTTTTATTTTTTGTGTGTAACCCATAGTTCCTTATCTAGATTTAAATTTTAAACTTCTAATCTTAGTGGTATCATCTTTAATCTTAAAAATCTACTCATAATCAACTATTATTTATTTTTAGGTCTAATAACAAGCTCTTAGGTGTGATTCTTTGCTAGAGAACTTATATCCTCTTTAATTTCTTTCAACCGCACCACTGATTTAATCACTCTTCATGACCTTCTGATATGTATTTAGCTATTTATCAGCTAATAGCTAGGCAAAAGTAAATTCAGATTCATACCGAAACCTTTGAGGCTCAATCTCTCTCTAACTCGTAGTCTAGTAAAGCATCTTGTTGAATAGGATGTACTTCTATCACTATTTCTCTCGTATCTTTCATTTCAAGTTGTTGAATTTGAGTCTCCACCTCATTTAGAATGCAAGTGATCTTCATCATTACATTGCTGATTTTCATTCAATTGCACGAAATCAAACTCTGTACGAGGCATTTCAGGCTCATTGAATATGACATTTGTACTGAAAATGATCTTAGCCCTTGTTTAATAATCATATTTTTGTAAAGAATGAGTTTAATATTTTGGAGAATGTGTGCTAGAAAAATAGAGCAAAATTTTGAGTTTACGTAATTTTATTGTGAAAATATGTGATTGAAAATAAGTATAAGAATAAAAAGTTATAAAAGAATGGTTACCAAACAGAGGCTTAACTCCCTTTTGACTTCTATCCCACGACGTATGCCCTTTAATTTCCTTAGAGTAACCTAGAAAAGTAAATGTATACATAGTCGGCTGGCCAGATACCACCCTCCTTACTGCTCTAGTTGATGATAATAATATTATGGGCTCATATTAATGATATGTTAATATTTCAACTTCAAAGCACTTTATAGTTGGCCGTTGTCAATGGATCGTGCTACCTGTAAGTTAAACTGTATAGATAGCTTGACAAATACATGAATGGCATGCATTTGTTGATTGGTTTGAATTTCTACAATTCAAATCGATCAATAGATGCACACATATCTATATAGATAACTTTATTCGTTATCATAGGTTCAAAATAAAACTATATTTTCTTATTAATAGAATCTTAGCCTAGAATCATAACTTGTATTAATTTCTTGTAAGTTTAGACAATGAATAATGCTCCTTGTACACTCCATGTTGTACATGGAGTTTGACATTGCTTGCAAATTCAAAAATGAATGGACAGAAAAGTGCTTTTCATTTTAAAACTGGCCATTCGTGTTGCGACGAGTGGCATAATGTCAAAATTAATGTTAATAAAAAATGAACATGTAGCAAGATTGTTAGACAAATAGCATTAAGATTTTGAGTTTTGCTATGTGTATATCCGGGGCTAACATCCCAGATGATGGCCGTCCCCTCTTGTGAGGGGCTTATCATCCGTGGTGTTAATCTCGAATGTACAAACAACAGAATATTAAGATTTTAATTGTCTGTTATGATTTAACAATAGTTTAAAACACTTGTTTAAATTTTCGTCATTTACATCCTGTCAACTCATAAAAAGAAAATATAATTTAATGCTACAGCATGTTTGAGTTGAATATATACAATATAACCAAATAATTATTTTTGCCTCTAATAAAGTAAATATTTAGACAATAAATTATTCAATATGATATCAAAATAAATATATAAATTATATATTTAACAATTTAAACATTTGTATGCACTTTGATATCATAGAAATCCCTTTTTCTTATTCACCCAAAAAAGAAAAGAAAAAAAGAACTAATTGTACTTGCAAGATGTCACATTACAAGAGCTTCAGTACTCGTATTTCTTTCACTGTCATCATCAGTCAAGAAATTCCAGATACTCATAATGTTACTAAGATCATATTCCCAGTCTAAAGTTGGTAAAAAATGCAAATCTTCAAGAATATTTGATGATTCAACATCATAAGAAGTCGGAGTAGAAGAAGATGTTGGAGTTGATAAATTTACAAAAGGAACAAGAATTTCATGGGCTTCAATAATAGGGACTTCATCAATGCAAAAGTTATAGTCCACTTCCAATGAATTATCAAATGGGATTTTGTCTTCTTGTTTAGCTTCTGTAACTGTTGACTGCAATGAGGTCTCAGACACCATGACCGCTGCCTCCTCCAGTGGTGGTTCTTGTCTTGTTTGGTGATTTTGTGGCGGTTTTTCGGTAGTGATGATAGGCAGTGGCTTATGAGTGAAAGGATCAATCCCTATTTTCTTCAACTTTTTCTTGATGTGGGTGTTCCAATGATTCTTGATCTCATTATCAGTTCTTCCGGGGAGGTGTGAAGCAATCTTAGACCATCTGCACCCATCCAAACATAAAAATATTCAAGGAAAACTAAGGTAAAATGCTATTGGGAGTCAGCTACATGTTGAGAAGATAACGACAAACGAAATCAATTTGAATATGTTTAGTACGAAAGACGAACCTGTTTCCAAGCTGAGCATGGAGATCAATAACCATTTTCTCTTCATATTCTGATAGAAGTCCCCTTTTTAAGTCTGGCCTAAGATAGTTTGTCCATCTCAGTCTGCAGCTCTTTCCACACCGCAATAATCCTGCAATATTCTATCAACCATATCAATAAAATAAAATTTCGAAGCTAGTTGGTTCTCTTCGATGGCACAGCATTTGACTAAACATTTAGGGGTAAAGCACTATTTCGGTATTGGCCATGAGAGCATATAAAGGATTGGATTATTCTTCTTAACAAGATTGAATGAAACTCCAAGTACGATACTACGTACGTCAATTACCTGCAAGTTTTGGGAGAGCTCTCCAGCAGCATTGGCCATTGGTGAGAATGAAACTGATGAGTTTTTGGTCTTCCTCAGCAGTCCATGGCCCCTTCTTTAGTCCAACTTTATCACAGCACGGTTGCCTTCCCATTATCTATTCTAACTCTATATTTTATCAAGTGATCAATCAAAATGAAGAGAGAAATGTACAGAATTTGAATAGAGAAACTGGATAAAAACACCAAACTCCCCTACTTAACACACGCACAAAAACGCACATATTTATAAGCAGTTCAGTCAACCCACCAAAAAAAATCATTAATTTAGTATTTTTCAAATGGTCTGTCTGGCATAGGAGTACGTTAATATATGACCTTGCGTGAATTATCTTAAATTATAGAATTATTAGTATGATATTATGAGTGACAACTTATTATCACTTGTGATATTTGATAAAATTGGATTCCACCAAAGTTGACTTGGCGATTAGGTAATATCTCGACTATTCAGCAGCCAAGAACTGAGAAGTCAACGGTGAAAACTGGGCGTTGCAAGTGTAAAAATCAACTCTCTTGACCTACTTTCGAGGCTTTTGTCAGTGTTTCAAAATGAATATTTGTTGATTTTTGGTTTGTTATTGTTTCTTAGGACGAAATTGATGGTAAACATGAGGAAGACAAGAAGAATAAATAGTTCTGAAATACACGTGGAAGTTTGTAAGTGAAGAGTCGAGTTCCCAAATGCTAAAGCCTAAAGATTAAAAGAGGGAAAAAATATATTTTCGAGTCAAGTAATTTTCACTTGCATTCAAATATATTCTGAAAAACTAATAAAAGTCTTGAAAAGAGGTCGATATAAGTGTAGATTTTACACTTTTTAGACAACTCGCTTATCGACAAATTCCATGTAAAACTTCAACCTCGGCTCTTCAATACTTGATATGTCAATTTTTGTTCCATGTCATACCTTAGCGCGGTTACTCTAAAAATTAGATAACGTGTACGAAGAAAGTAATTAAATGGTTTTTTTTTTATGTTAAATAGTATGTTCGGTAAAGTTTACAAACTGATCAAACATATCTTTTATCTACATATTCTGTAGGGCACAAATCTTTTGATTATATGCGTATTTTGTTAAGTTTCACATCTTATAATGCACAAAAAGTTTTAGAAAAATCTAAACATGCACTAAGCTGATCAAACATGGGGCATGACACCTTATACATCTCACCGCTTGGCATGGGAAAATAAAGGTAAAAGTAGAAGACACCCAATGCTTTACAATAATAATAAGGGAAGTGCTACATGTACATAATTGTCAACATAATGATGTTTATAATTACACGCGACACTGAATCCAACCTTTAATTCAAATCTCACACTTGCACATCAATATTCGGATGATTGCCACATCACATTATGGATACCATTATGTGCAATAATTATGTACAAATAGAATTTTCCTAATAATTATTGTGACATAATAATGCTTGTCGTTGTACTTGTAGTAGAACATTATTTTTGTGCATTCTAAATGGGACCCACAATCTTATTTGCAAAGCAAAATTATTCAAAATTAATTTGGTCAAAGATTAGAAAATAATGCTACTCATATATAATGATATCATATAATGATTTACATACAAATAAGATATCAAAAGGAGAGAGGGGAATTTTATTTATTTATTTATTTTTTTGAAGAAATTTTGATTCAATCATATCTCACCATATTATGCGTATGTTAACTATTATACACATGTAACACAATCAAATATTAGAAGATAAGAAAATCCTGAAGGAATGGAAATTATAGCCAAATTGCTTGTGTTTCGTTGATTGAACGACAAATATTAATTATTACACAAACATTGCGAAATTTAAGGTTTATTTCTAATGTTTTTCTGTTTTAGAAGTTTCTAAATGATCATTTGATTTGTAACAAAGTAGGAATGCAATTGAGAAAATTGATTGCTCGAAATAATTTTTTTGTGAATGAGAAATATAAGTCAGAGTGATCTCATTTATCACCGAAAAGCGAGTGAAATTTTTCAAAAGTGATTTACCTCATTGAAAAGATGAAAAGACTACTATGGTTAGACAATTTTGCTCTTTGTACAATCAGGATTAACTACCCAGTTGACAACCTTCTCACAAAAGGGGGCTCACGTTTTTTTATTCATCTTGGACCCCTCTCCCATGTATGTGGTTGTCAACCCGATTGTACATATAACATCAGTAATGGTTGGAAGGGTCATGTTATATGTACAATCGAGGATAACAACTCAGGTTGACAACCACACACATGAAAGGGAGGTTCACGATTTATTAAAAAATTGTGCATCCCTTTCGTGTGAAGAGGTTTTCAACCAGGATTGGCTACTTCAATTGTACAACTAGCAAAATTCTATAGTTGAAAACTAACCTATGTAATCATCAAGGGAAAAAATTAACACAACTACGAAATAGTTGTAAAATCAAAACTCCACATTTTCATTTATTTTCATTAATTACATGTAGAAATCGTCGCTCTAACATGTTTCAAAAAATAAATAAATTTTAAAAACAAAATTTTTATCGTTACATAAGATTTTCTACAATGGTTGAAGAAATAGCAATCGTTACCTAACTTATTTATTCTAACAATAATCTCCCCTCAATATTATTATCATTCTCGTGGAAAATTCTTAATTCTTTTTCTATATTTTCGTACTCACTACTTTTCTACTTCTTGCTCTTTAGGAAATTTATGTGAAGTAAATTCAAACAAGAATACAAATTAATTAATTAGTTTTGAGTATGATTAAAACTTTTCATGAGTGACCATCAAAACGCGGTTGTAGAAATTTTGCATGATATATGGCCAAATTTCCAATGTGAAATTGTGAATTTGGCGCCGTCTAAACAGACTACGGATGATTCCATTCACACTCTTTTTTAGGTGTTTGTTTGTCCAATCTACAAACGTTTTTCCTCCCCCAAATTAATAGTTTTCTAACCACTCTTACCTCATGTTTGATTTGTTGGACTAGACAACAGTCAAATTTTATCGCATGTTCCCCTCGAAATTATTAAAAATTATCGAAATCGCATGATTTAATATCTCAAAAAAATACAAATATTGGGACATAACTACATTCCACAATAGTTTCATTGATTTATCTTAGTGTATTTCATTTAACTTATTAAACATCCTCGGAATTACATGATAAAATATATCGAAAAAGTTAAATAATGGGACATAGATACATTCCACGATGGTGGCCGTGTGTAAGACTTGGAGCAAATATTGAGTTCCTTCTTAGTTGACTTTGGTTGGCAACTAGTTAATTTGGTTAGCTTATTTTTCTAATTAAACCAAATTGTTGGCTATTAGTTATTATTTACTATTTTCCGTGAATTAAGAGATAAGTGTTAATGGTGAAATCCCACACCGATGAATTATGAAAATAATAGTTTACGTACAAGGATTTAAATTGTTCCTTTTAACAAAGTCTGTTGAGATAAACCCTCAAGATTCAATATGGTATTCGATCACTTATGAAGCAGTCTAAAGATCAAATTAATTCTAAGATTTCAAAAATAGTAATTGTAAACGAGCCACCATTTACATGAACATCAAAACTTGTCAAGGACTTGAACGCTAATATTGGCATCAACTAGTGAAGAAGAGCCACAAACAAAACTACGCATGGTGAAATTGAGTCACTTGCGTAAACTTTTGGTTTCTTGTGGAATTTGTCAATTCACATCACCAATGCATTTACAAATTCCATAATCTACAAATAGCCACCTAAAAAATTCAAAAGAACCGAGACGAATTGCAGCACAAATACGCGTTTTCTAGAGGCAAACCAATCAGTTGACTAAAAGTCAAGAGGGGACTTGGTCTCCAATCATTTTTTTGGATGAGAACACACCTAAAATACTATAGTTAATGTCCAAACTGAGTAACGTTATATAGCACCAATTTTTATTGCAAAACAAATCCGTGGGTTCACACAAGTCAAGATTTGATTCCTTCAAGAGTCTGTTTGGTTTGTATTAAAATTTGATTTTAATTTAAGTCAAAGACATAATAAATATTAACCATATTTTTCATGAATTTCACAACTTTTCAACTACACATTTCAAAAACTTTTATCACAGTCTACTAAAAAATATAATTTTAATCCCCCACCAAACACCCTCTTAATGTCTTTTTAGCTGTTCGACCAATCAAATATTGATACATCACAATGTTGTGTACTTTGTAAGTGTCAAATTTTAGTGGAATACGATCCACCATAAAAAGATTGTCCCACTAAAATTTTGAAATTTCAAAATTATAGTAATGTATTGGACGTTATTAACAAGTCGATAAAGGGGATAGAGAGATAAGAACCATAAAACTAGACTCCGCACCCACTACATTGACATTAACGATAAGCTGTATTGCACTCTAACTACGATAACATGCCCAACACGTGTCAAGCAGGACACCAACACTATAACCGAATATATAATTTTCACTCAAAATTTATTTTAATAAAACAAATAACCTATGATTTCACCATCCAAAAGAAAAAATAAAATAAAAAAATTCTTTTGTCCAAAAAATTATAACACTATAAACCAGCATGTCCCCATCCTACTTATTAATATACTAGTCGCTATCACGTGCGTTGCATGAATTTTGTATTTATCGTATTTTTATTAGTGTATGAATTTTAGTTTTTTTGGAAAGTTTTTGAATCAATATCTAAAAATATTTCCATGATATAAGAAAATAATTGTAAATTATTTATACAATTGCATAGCAGCATGTATATTTCATGCTTGAATAAAAAAATATACAAATTATTTTGCTTGTATTCTTTGATAGTGTCGATATGAATGAATTGAATTTGAAAATTATATTTCTAAATTTTGTGTAATTCAATATTGTAAAATTGAAAAAAAAAAAACTCTCTACATAGTGCAGAGAGAGTTGAACGAAGTGCAAAGTAAAAATAAAAAATAAAAAAAGATACGGAGAGAAAAAATCTCTCCGCACTGTGCGGAGAGATGACAAATCAACTTTTCGCACTGTGCGAAGAGAGTTAATCTCTTCTCATAGTGCGGAGAATTGGTCCGCACCATGGCAAAATTCTCCGCATAGTGTGTAGAGAGTTGAACCATGTGCGGAGTAAAAAAAAGTACGGAGAGAAAAAAATCTCTCCGCACAGTGCGGAGAGAGTTGAACCATATGTGGAGAGTTGGCAAACTCTTCGCACAGTACGGAGTAAAAAAACTCTCCGCACAGTGCGGAGAATTATTTTCAAATTCCTTAATTATAAGTCAAATTTTAAGATTGTAAATTTTTTGTATATACAACGAAATAGAATCGAAAAACATGGCTTAAAATCAATTATGTCTTTTTTAAATTCCAGTCACATCTCAATTTTTGAGCATGCAAATCATATTTATAGTATTGGAAAGGAGTTTTCTCGTGATTCATACAATAAAACAATATGTGAGTTGTGCAAAGAAGGGGATATTGATAGTATCATAACATTGCTTCACAAATGGAAGTTCTAAGATACCACCCAAATTCAATATTTTACACTTGCTTGATAACAGCTCTTGGACATTAAAAGCAGATACAATTTTCAATAAAATTTTACTTTTCGGTTGTAGGCCATGAATTAAAGTGTTCAATGCATTGCTCAAAAGTTGTTTGAGAAAATGCCTCTTGGAACTTCCAGATAAAGTTCCGAAAGTTCTTAAGAAATTCAATATTAAATAAATTTTATACACTTATAACTGATTATAAATTTATATATGCAGCTTACCGTATATAAAGCTTACTGTATATGCTGCATGTCATATTTGCAGCTTACCACATTTGCAAACAACTTATCGTATTTGTACATTATCGTAAATGCTGCCTACTGTATTTGCAGCCTACCGTATTTGCAAAGAACTTACCGTATTTTCACCTTATCGTATTTGTAGCTTACTGTATATGTTGCCTACTGTATTTACAACTTCTATATATGCTTCCTACCGTATTTGCAACTTACTATATTTTTATATACCAATTTTTGTACTTACAAATATCGAGAATGCAGATTACCGTACATTCACTTACCAAATCAAATGTAAAAAATTTTCCAAATTTTTATTTTTTCAATATAAGTATAAGATAAATATATGAAGCACAAAATATAAATGCATATGAATATGGTGCTCAATGTTCAATTTTCCAATATTGAATTACACAAAATTTAGAAATATAATATTCACATTCAACTCAATCATATCAACACTATCAAAGCCCTTGTTTAAGCCATATTTTTTGGGGAAGAATGAATTTTTGAATAATATATTGATGGAAAATGTGTGGTTAAAAAATAAGGAAAAGTTTTGGATTTACGTGTAATATTATTTTATTGAATAATGTGTGGTTGAAATGATGTCAAAACACTGTTAAAAATGAATTTTTTTTAAAAGAATGGGGTTCAAACAAGGGCAAAGAATATAAGCAAAATAATTTGTACAATCTCGTATATTTCTTATTCAAATATGAAATTATACAAGTATATTTTTTCTAGATGACACAATACTATTATGCAATTGTAAAAATAATTTGCAATTATTTTCTTATATCATGAAAATATTTCTAGATATTTCTTCAAAAACTTTTCAAAAAACTAAAATTCACGCACTAATAAAAATATGATAAATGCAAAATTCGTGCAACGCACATGATAGTCACTGTATGGAGAGGCTTCTCTGTACGGAGACTCCGTACTTTGTGAGGACAGTGTCCGCACAGAATGCCACATTTTCGTACAGTGCGGAGAGTTTTGCCATAATGTTTGCCATCTCTTTGCACTGTGCGGAGAAATTTTTTTTTTTTACTTCGCACTGTATGAAGAATTTGCCAACTCTCCGCACATAGTTTGTCATCTCTCCACACTATGCAGAGAGTTTTTTCTTCCTTTTTTACTCCGTATATGATTTATCATCTTTCCGCACTATACAGAGAGTTTATTTATTTATTTAAAGCTCACGTGCGAAGAGTTTTTTTTTCTCATGGCAATTTATATTTACTAAAATTATTATTATTTATATTTCTCATGGCACTAGTAGCATGATATGTGAAAGAACATTTGTTTGACATAATTATTTTTTCTAAAACTCATGTGCGAAAAGGTCTTTTTTTTTTTTTTTGCTTTATATTTACTAAAATTATTATTATTATTTAATGCTAGTAGCATGATGTGTGGAAGAACATTTGTTTGACATAATTAATTTTTTAATGCTAGTATGATGATGTGTAGAAAAACATTTATTTGACAAACAAAATAAAAAAAAAAAAAATGACATCGTACAAAGTAAAATTGAATTCATTTACTATTGCATGAATAATAAACCTCCTTCCCCTTTTTATTAGAAGCTAGATATATATACACGCGTGTCCATGCCATATAGGTGCTAAGCACCCATAGTGCTACAGCTGCCTAGCATTATTTTTTTCAATCTTGCATTCAGCTTAACCACCAAATCAAGACATTCATGAAATATGATCCAACAGATTGTTAATGTAAATGCTACTGGCACGTCATTCATATTTTCAAATTGTATGCCTCAAGGACAGATAAATATTTACAGAGCGAACAAAAAGGGAAATTTTCACAAATATAATTGGTGCAATAGCCAAAACCTGTGTAACAGATTTAGACAAAAGCCCACTACATGCTGATTTGTTATCAACAAAAACTTGCAAATTTGAATGCCGAGCTACCTTCAATTAAGTTCTAGCTTGATTTCATGAGGCTGATCAACGTTGGATTCCATTAACTTGCTCGGAATACCAGAGACTATGGTACCACCATTATAACCATCCATAAGCAGCTTTCCAATTTTCGACTTCCATTCTGAGCTATCCTTTTCATTCTTGTGGTCATGAACAACTCTATCGCGATAATTTAGCATTGTTCCAAGACCAGTATTTGGTACCCAACCATATCCCATCAACACCTTGGCTTCTCCTTCAGTTAAATCATCTCCCACCTGTATATAATTGAGGCTTACTGATTAAGAACTTTGGGAATCCGAAAAATGATCCTAAGACGGATAATCACAAAAGAATGATATATTGTTACAAGGTCATGATATATTGTTACAAGGTCCAATATTTTCAATATCTCATTACTAATATCCATAACAAAACCCAGTAAAACAGACAAACCACACATAGCAAGTTCGGTGCGCAGGACTAGAAAGTATAATGGATAAAGACTTTTGCTTCTTTGTGCTCTTTAATACTGTCCAGTTATCTCCAATCCTCCTCAAGAAGCATGCTATTAACGAACAACACATAAATGGATAATTCAAGAAAAGCATGGAAATCCAGCTCTTCAAAATAGTTCTTGTATATCAAAGAGTTGAAATCAGATCATCAAGTTGATTAATACACTATTGCGAAACAAACAGTAATGCATATGCTAAATAGTGTTGGTCTTTAACTTGGGCAAAAGATTTGGGCAAGAGTTATACCAGCAATGCTTTATTCTCGATTAAAGTAACCCTGCCACAGCTAGTAAGCTTCATAGCAGTCACCAGTCGTTTGATCTGCCAACCTATAGGTAAGGAATCCACCAAGTCAAAGAAGTATGTCGCATAACCATATTCAGGACGTTCAAGCACCATCCTACAATCATGAAAAGAATAAGTTTCTTCTTCATCCCACGTGGATATATTTCAATACTAAGAAGATAATTAATGCAAACAATATTACACCTGTTATGTCTTTCAAAGACAAAAATAAATGACTGGAGGTCCCGGCACCACCCCCATTCAACTGGCCACTTTCTGAACTGCAGATATCGTGCCTGAGAACAAAAGGAATGGGTTAAAATATCAAATTATAGAAACGCATAAGCAAAGGATTTCATATAAGAATACAAGTAAATGGCACAGATAGATTTAGTCTTTATCTGGACAATAGACAAAAATTTGAAGGGAAGTTAATACCTGCTCCACAAGTGAAAATAGACAAGCCAAGCAATAAGGAGCCCTCTCCCCCTTAGCATGTCGTAATGGAGCAAACTTTAACAATGTATGCCGCTGAGAGAAAAGCTGTACCCACAAAACACAATCAGACATTTATTGCGCAAGATGCGTCAAAAGAGATTGCACCATAACAATTTTATTGAAGGGTCACAAGTACACTGAAATGTAACAACATGCTGCAGGAAATATGTTGGTGTACAACTCATGGTAAAGACTGGAAAATCATGTGCGCGTGTGATCAGAAGTACCTTGCCTCACCCATCACAACGTATTATCATATATACTGTTTAACATTTGAAATTTTGAACATTCTACACATTCTTGGCGCGACATCACTATAAATGCTTTTATATATTTTCCAAAACCACTCATTTATTCTGTGCTTTTAGCTCTTCCATGGGGAAAAATTTGCTTTTTTCTATTCATTTATTGCTTTCCCATATAGTCATTTATGCCTGAAGTCTCTATAGTCTATACTGATAAGAAAAAGAAAACAAAGATGAGAAACAGGACACAACCAACTTCTTCAATGATGAGAAGTTTGTGACCATCGATATTTTTTCTGCACAAGGAGTATTATATAAATTCCGTGTTGGCAAGGAATGGAAATCCTCAAAGAAATATTTCTTTCAGTTGAGAGGCAACGGCAAAATATTTGCATATCACTGAAGCTTATGTAATTTGAAACTATTTTAGCTCTGCAGGCGATGCAGACCCCATATCATCAAGTGAAAATAGCAGACTAAGTCTTAAATGTCAAAAGAAAAATTACTGAAGGATTTTTCAACTTTAAATACACAACATTTCGAAGAATATGCCATTAGTTGAGCAAATAAAACAGATCAAGTCTTCATTGTCAAAAGAAAAACTAGTAAAGGAATTCAACTTTAAATTCACAACATTTCAAAATTTACAAGTGTGAAGAGAAATTTTTTGGTCATTTTGTCATGCAATAAAGCAGAAGCATTATTGGAAATGACAGTTGCGAACTGAGACCAAGGAAGTGTATTTTCTCATTAATATTGGAGATTCTGCATCATATCTTAAGATAATTAACATTTTATTACAAAACCCATTTTCTTATTTCAATAACTTCGCCCAAAAAAAAAAAAAAAAAAAAAAAAAAAAAAAGGGGGCCTTCTAGTTTTTCTATTCCCTAATAGTCACACGCAGTGCACTTGCACACGTTTAATGCTAGTAATAATAATAAATGAGTACTAAATGAACAAATCAAACCTTCAGCAACAGTGTAAAGCAGGAAAAATATCTGTTACAACTTCTAAGACTAGCTACAGTACAATAATTTTCACATTTTAGAAAAAGTATTCATGATAAAGCATATCTTGTTTGCATACAAGTGCAATGCCACAATCAAAAGGATGTACTCCCAACAGCAAATTAAAGCAAGCAGCAAGGAAGAGTAATAACTCAATTGAAACGTTTTAATATTAACACCGTAAGTGAGATTGGATAATTCAGCCAGCCAGCTATCAGGTTTGAACCCAAGACTTTTGCCCCTATAATGTTTGGGGAAAATGCTATATATCAAGTATCAAAAACAAATATCATGTCCCCCCAATTCATTCAATAATTCCATTTCATCAGTTACTTGATACAGTAACAATGCCACCATGCAGATGGCGGATGCAATTTAAATCAAACAGAAAAATATAAATTTGTAAATTATGATATAGTCACAACCTTTGAGATGATGTCTTCAAGCTCTGCAAAGTTGTCTTCAGTGGACGAATCATCCAAAGCATCATTGCTCTCCAATTCGCCATAAAGCTTAATTTCACCAATTGTTACACCTTTTTCAATTAAAACCTATCCAGTAGAAAGATTTCAATGAACAGCTCAGATTTCGGAGAACAGCAGAGCTTAAATCTGTATAGTACCTGCAAGAGTCCAGGAGCATCTTCCTCCATGGCTGTTTCAACTGAATCTCTGCAATTAGCACCAAAAACAGTACAGTATTTTATTCTTGTACATAACTCTGGAAAATGTAATAATGAAGGCATAAATTTGTAAAGACAGCGAAAATTTACGTGGCAGTTTTTCGCCTTTTCCGTGGACGGTTGACTTTCAAAGGTTTTGTAGGTTTTGATGCAACTGATCTACAATCCAAGTCAGAAGGAAACAATTTGCTCTGGCATCCTGAACTTCCATAAATACCCAAACGAGGAACCTCTCTTGACGAAAACAATCTCATCCGTTGTTGCAGTATCATGTGATCCAGTTCATCTCCATGTTCATCAGGTAATTCTAATTCACTTTTTACTGGAACAGTGACATCAAAGGACATGTGACCTGCAATTCCATCTACTCTCATAAACTCATTATGATTTGAAGGCTCGACATTGACCTGAGCTAAGTTCAGTATTGCTGAACTTGGCATATTCCTAATATCATGCTCGGAGAAATTTTTTTCAGAGTATATCCTATTGTTTCTAAGAATGCTTGGCACATTTCCTAGATTAGTTGACTTGTTATCTTGGCAGTGAGGCTCCAGTATGGTACATTGAAGAGGTTTGCATGATGTTTTCAGAGTAGAAGCATCGAATGAACCAGACTGCAAAGTCTTGTCAATCTCATGAAATTGATTGCCAGATGAAGAAAACATTTCATGACTAAGATCTTGTTCTGGTTTTCTTTTTCCAGGCCTTTGCTTACGTCTGTCTGCTGAATACGGGCTAGTTATCCCGGAAGAACTATCCTGTGTAGCAAACATCAATCACAACTCCATTAGAAAATGCAAAGGTGAAACAAAAAGTCTCTATCAACTTATTTTATTTATCATAGTGGGAACCATTGCTATACTATTAATATGCAAATATAACTTCTGATATCAGGAGTGGTTTCGTAAGTATTTGGAAGCCCACGTTATTCAGAAATATATGAGAGATAAAGATCAAAAAAGACAATATCAGTAAATGGAGCAACATAATATATTCAGACCATAAAGAGTATAATATATATATCACATGAACCATATTAAAAACTCTTGCAAGTCACAATAACATAAACCAAAAATCTCTAGATTGAGAAAGCTCTAACAAGACACCAGTTAATTAATCAAGCCAGGAAAAGAAGAGAAGACAACAAATTTGTCAAGTTTCATCTTTAAGAACTACATTACTGTATGCAAAAAACCAGTTTCCCATCATCATGCTTATTGCAACTCATCAGTTCTCATAACAATTTTAAATAATTTCTTCTATCATTGGGCATTAGTAACTGAAAAATATCAAAGCTGGACATGGGGACAAGGTTAAGAACGAATACAATATACTTTAGCATTTGTAACATATATTCCGCAAAAATGTTAACATTTGTGATTTTTAAAAATTTTCCTGCATGTGTACTGGTGCACGTGTGTGTGAAGACTCTAACCATTAACTGAAGAACACCTTAATGACAAGTGTTAGACACCGATACGCCACCATAGTGAGAGTGTACACACTTCATAGATGAAAATAAAAGCTGTTAACAGAAAAAAATTAACTTGTTTGCTGCAAATGGTGGTCTCACTGAGAGGTACAGATACAGGACATTTCATGTCAAACCCAAAATTTTGAGAATATTCTGATTCTCATGAAAATTAAAAAATAGGAGAATATAATTCATAAAAAGGGAGACTATATTGGAAAGACAGCAGGAAACACATCATTAATGAAACAAGTATTTTATGCACATGGAAGAAAGTTCCTCACTAACAAGTGACTGTAAGACAAGATAAATAAAGTAATACAAAATAAAATAAGTGCTTCAATAAGGGAAAATTTAGAACACTCAAAGAAAGAACAAAGGAAAAGCACTATCAAAGAGTTTGGAAGAGGAATAAATAGAACAGGCTCAGCTCCATTAAATGCTCTCTACTTAAAATACCATATTTCTTCATTTGACTGATGAGATTATATTTACCATGTCATTGCCGTTACCATTTTTTGTTAGACAATTTCATTGATGAGTATTAATTGTATGGTTTTGGGATCGGGATAGTGATTTGATGAATTACAGAAATATGGTAAGAAAAGGGAAAGTAGTCGACAACGTAGACATCAAAAATGGGACATAGCCCATAAGCTTGAGAAGGATTACTGTTGCACTTTAAAAATATGTACGACTTGAAGCCTAGTAAGCCGGCCATTCTGTGTGACACGCATAACAATTGCCTCTCTTTTTTCTCCGCATACTCAATTTGAGGCCAGTCTTCCAGAGAGAGAGAGAGAGCAACAACAAAAATGATACATGCATAAGATCTATGCATAGAAAAAGCATTATGCCTTTCATTCATTCAAACACGCAAAAGATAGACTTTTGAACACGGTGTAACTTGACAGTTGAAGTATAATAGGCCAGCCTACCAATCTTGGGCAGTTGATGAGACTAATGCATAGTTATGCAGGTCCAATTTCATGGCCAACTAGGGATATTGGAATTATATCACAAATCTCACAAAATTATCATCACATTGCGTCAGCAGGAAGTTGAAAAATGTTTTCTGACATCAACAGACAATTGAAAAGACAGTAACTGAAGCCTTAGTTTACTAATGAGCTCACATATCCAGGAAAAGGAAAGACGCAAAGCATGTTGCAATACAGGTTGACCACTCCAAGGCCATCAATTGTTTTAGTTTGATCCTAATTATTTCAAACAAACTCAATTCTTGTAAACTGCGTCAGACTAAGAATATCCTTTTAAGTTAGATTAGACTTTCTAATTTTCAGCAGTCCTTGAGGGTTCGACCTCATTGCTCATTACTTGCAAGTATAATTAAAGTTTCACAACGTTATTATTAAATCTTGAATAAGACACCACATATTTTTTACATATCTAAGTTGTACGAGAAGTTGATGATAGGTGATTAGATTACCCATGTGATAATCGAAATTTAACACCTTTTAGTTAAAACCAGGAATCCCGCAAACATTAAATCAACGGTTGATGTTTTATAGGATAAGTTTTGCAGGACTACATTATGCCCTTGTTTGAGCCAAATTATTTTCATGAGAATGCATTTTTGTATAATGTATTGATGGGAAATGTGTGGTTAAAAAATAATGAAAATTTTTTAATTTGCGTGTAATATTATTTTATTGAAAAATGTGTGGTTGAAATGATATCATATCACTATTTGAGAATACATTTTTTTGAAAGAATGCGAGTCAAATAGACCCTGTATATAAACACTACAAATGAAAAAGTAAAAGCTTGTTCCATATAAACCAACGGTAAGGTACATGAACCTTAACCGTGCAATCAAGGACTACCTTTACTAAAAAATTCTACGAAATCAAATTTCTTACACCCAACTCTGTCCATGACATTTTTTCTCTACATCTTATACTTTTTAACAAGTCCAAAAATGCACTGCCTACGTCAAAAAGAGATACTTTAGGACTCGAGACTTATCCGACAAGCGAATTCTTCCTATCCTTGGAATAAGGAGGTTGTGGGCAATGTGAACTGTCGTAAAATTCAGTGTCTTTCCGAGATTGAGGAGTTGGATAGGTGGGAGGAGAGTCGAAGGTTGGCTGGGGAGGAGAAGGAGAAACGTAGAGCATTAGGGGAAGAATTGGAGAGGTTGGTGGAGATGGGGGAGATTGCTTAGGGTCAGAAATCTAGGGTCAATTGGTTGAAAAAATGAGATAAATGTACTAAGTTTTTTCACAGGATCGCTAACTCTAATAGGCGCAAAAACTCGATCACAGTGCTGGAAGTGGATGGGATAACTTATGAAGAACCACTTGAAATTGGAAGCCAATTGGTGAATTTCTATCAGAATCTATATCAGGAGCAGTTTGAGTGGAGACCAGAGTTGGAAGGATTGGATTTTTCTACTATCACGGAGGATGATGCCGAGTGGTTAGAGCGACCTCTTGAGGAGGATGAAATCAAGGAGGTAGTGTTTAGCATGAACGAGGATAAGGCCCCTGGACCGGACAGTTTCTCGTTCTCATTTTACAAGGTTTATTGGGAGGTGGTGCGATCGGAAATTTTGGATGTGTTTAAATATCTTTTTGAACGTAGCAGGTTCCAGAAAAGTTCTAATGCTACATTTGTTGTGCTGATCCCTAAGAAATCGGGAGCGACCAACATTAAGGACTTTCGCCCTATTACCCTAATCTGTGGGGTGTATAAGATTATTGCAAAAGTCCTGGCGAACAGATTAAAGGAGGTGCTCGGGAAAGTAGTGTCCAAGTTTCAGAATGTTTTCGTAAAAGGTCTCCAGATTTTGGACTCTGTGCTTATAGCAAATGAATGCATTGATTCAAGATTGCGTTTGAGAAATCCCGGGATGTTATGTAAGCTCGATATTCAGAAGGCATATGATCATGTAAACTGGGGGTTCCTCTTATATATGCTTAAGAGGTGCGGCTTCGGGGATAAGTGGTGTAAATGGATTCAATTCTGTATTTCTACTGTTTCGTTCTTATTTATGGTCAACGGAACGCCGGAGGGTTATTTTCGGAGTAGTAGAGGATTGCGGGAAGGAGATCCACTATCCCCATTGCTTTTGTTATTGTGATGGAGGCTTTCAGTAGGATGTTTGAAAGAGCTGTGGGAGAGGGTTTGGTAAGGGGCTTTAGGGTTGGCCAATTGCAGGTGTCTCATTTGCTATTTGCAGATGACACGTTGATCTTATGTGATGCGGATGATGAACAATTCAGGAACTTGCATTGTTTGCTCCTATGTTTTGAAGCAGTGTTTGAATTAAAAATCAATTTGGGGAAATCTGAGGTTATTCCAGTTGGGGAGGTCACTAACGTGGAGGAGTTGGCTGGCATATTGGGATGTAGGATTGCACAATTGCCCATGTTATATTTAGGCCTCCCGCTAGGGACACGGTTTAAAAGTACACATATCTGGAATGGTATTATGGAAAGAATGGAGAGGAGGTTAGCAGGGTGGAAGCGTATGTATCTTTCTAAGGGAGGCCGACTTACTCTTATTAAATCCACTCTCTCAAATCTCCCCACTTACTTTTTGTCATTGTTTCCTATTTCGGTTGCAGTGGCAAATACATTAGAGAGACTTCAAAGAGAATTCTTGTGGGCAGGGTTAGGGGAGGAGAGGAAAATGCATTTGGTTAATTGGGGTACTATTTGTTTGCCTATGAGGATGGGGGGGCTTGGAGTGAGGAGCCTTGTTTTGTATAATAAGGCTTTATTGGGCAAGTGGTTGTGGCGATTTGGAGTGGAGAGGGAGAGCTTTTGGAGAGAAATCATTGAGGCAAAGTATGGTGTGATGGAGGGGGGTTGGTGTACAGTTGAGGGTCGTGGCTTCTATGGGGTGAGTTTGTGGAGGTATATCCGACGGGGATGGAGTTATTTTAGGGACAAACTAAATTTTGTGGTGGAAAATGGCACTGATATTAGATTTTGGGATGATAGTTTGTGTGGCGATCAACCGTTAAATGAGGGATTTCCCTCATTGTACCGCATTGCGTTAGAGCCTACTGCTGTGGTGGGTGATGTACTTGACATCCATAATGGAGGCTATAGTTGGAATATTACTTTTGGAAGGGGTTTACAGGATTGGGAATTGGAAGATTATTCGTTGTTTTTGACCGCTCTACATGAGATACAAATTCGGGTTGGAGAGGGTGATTGTAGCAGGTGGAGGTTAGCTCGAGATGGTATTTTCTCAGTCCGTTCATACTTTCAATCCCTCTTGGGATTTGTGGAGAGTTCATTACCTTGGAAGATGGTGTGGCAAAGTAAATTGCCTCTACGGGTAGCATTTCTATTGTGGACAGTTATGAGGGAGCAGGTGTCAACGGTGGATAATCTTCGACGAAAAGGATTTTATGTAATCGAGTGGTGCTATATGTGCAAGAAAGATGGAGAGACGATTAATCATTTATTCATTCATTGTGATGGCGTGCGTTGGCTTTAGAACAATATTCTGGCTTCTCAATCAATGGATTGGATGCTACCTAGGCGTATTGAAGACGTGGTGCGGGCACGGAGAAGAAAACTTAGCGATAAGGATAGCAAACTTCTATGGAATCTTATCCCGGGATGCATTGTATAGTGCATATGGAGAGAACGGAATGATCGATGTTTCGAAGACCAAACAAAGACAACAGAGCAGATAAGAGAATTATTTTACTTGACTTTGTATACTTGGTTTAATGCAGCGACTAAAAATCCTGTTGTAGGGTTGCCTAATTTCTTGTTCCTTTCATGCTTAAAGTGATTGTATACCTCCCATGTACTCTCTTTTAAGGAATAAAATTCTCTGATTACCTATCAAAAAAAAAAAAACTTAAAAGGCATTTTGTACTTAATATTTATTTTAATATTAGAAATATATAAGATAGCCCAAATGGCTACAATTGAAGAGTTCATTTATTGAAAAGTGCAATTTTTTGTTTGTTGCTTTGCATTATGCAATGGCATAGCAATTACTTTGTGGATGTGCTTGGAGTGCCACTATGATGCCAATGAGAAAAACAAATAGAAGAGTTCTCTTATAAAAAGTAAAACAGATGCACAAGCCTACAGAGTCAAGTCACCCAAATTAAAAGATAGAAGCTAAAGGTCAGCACTAGGGCTGTCAATGGATTGGATTTTGATCCGAATCCGATGAAATTAATGGAAAATGGATTTAGGGTCTCAATCCGATAATCCGATTAAAATTCGGATCCGATAATTCGTTAACTAAATGGAGCAAATATGGATATAGGTCGATCCAATCCGATCCGATAATATAATATATTTTATATATTATATCATAATCTAGTAAGTGTAATTTTTTCCATTTTGAAACTTATATTATGCTTTACACATAATTTTCAAATAAAAAATAATATTAGTTAATAGCATAATATTGTTAATTGAAATATTGGAAGAGATTTAATTTTTTATTAATTAAAATAAGATAAAAATAACGATAGTAATTTGTTTTATAACATCAAAAACTAATAATTAATGTCCAAAAATAATTTATATTGTTTAAATTGATATTATCTGTGATTATAATCTTGTTGAGACTATGATTTTTAATGAAGATAACAAAATAAACTAGTAACATTTAGAATTGACAATTGACTAATATCCCATATTGAAAGATCACTAAAATGTTGGAAGAGTATCCTTTAAAAAGTTAGTATCCCACATTAGAAGATTACTAAAAACATTCCAAAATGAGTCTTCTTTAAAAAGGAACTAAAAGAGCATCACTTGGATGAAAAATTAATTTGGGCCTTCTAGTATAATAAGTGAGCCCATCAAGATAATTAAAATTTTTTTTGGGAAAAAAATCATATTACCCAAAAAAATGGTGGAAAAAATAATTTTTCCGAATTCGGATCGGATTATTGGATCGAAGATCCGATAACATAGCAAATCGGATATGAATTTAACAATCAAATATTCATTGGATTATCGGATCGGATTGAATAAGATAATTTTTCTTAACAGACGGATCGAATTTGGGCAGATCCACTCCATATCCGACCTATTTACAGCCCTAGTAAGCACCCATGTTACAAAATCATATAGTTTAAGAAAGTTGAAGAAGCATGTGCGATGCATACATGAAAATCCACAAAAACCAGGGAGTAAAAAGAAAGTAATAGCCTTTTAGGTAGAAATTAATTGGATATCAGTTCTGAGACCCTAACAAACTATCCACTTCAGTTTAACAAAATACAAAGAATTACCTCGGGAGAAGTTGCCAATGTTCCTAAGGATTTACTGCAAAATAAATGAAAGAAAAATGTTACTCAATTCTATGTGAACCAAATATTCAAAAAGCTTGCGATACTATTGACAATAAAACTAGGAAGTATAATATACATTTTTTTTTTTTTTTAAAAAAAAAAAAAAATGTATATTATACTTCCTAGTTTTATTGTCAATAGTATCGCAAGCTTTTTGAATATTTGGTTCACATAAAAATTAAGAAAAATTTTTTTTTTTTTTTAAAAAAAAAAAAAAATGTATATTATACTTCCTAGTTTTATTGTCAATAGTATCGCAAGCTTTTTGAATATTTGGTTCACATAAAAATTAAGAAAAATTTTTTTTTTTTTTTGAAAGGTTGGAAGTATAATATACATTATAACAATTACTCCCTAGAACTCAGATTGAAATAATCTGATTGGAGCATTCGGTATAATACATGTCGCGTGTTTAATGAACAAGGAGCAGCCACCAGAATAGGCTATTGTGAAAATGTATACCTTGTTAGAAGCCGCCTTAGACGTTCTTTTAGTACAACGTGATCAAGTTCATCAAGAATGTCATCAGAGATCTGAGTTCTAATTTTAACCGCTTCAAGGCCAGCCCCAAAGGAACCTTTTGTGCACTTTCTTAATGAGTTCATGACACCATTGTCAGTGCATTCAACCTTCACCAAAACAGGATATTCTGACAATAATGACTGCACGAGTGAAATACCATCAATAGAATCAGCTTTCTCTGGTGTTGAGACAACACAAGGCATATGATTTGTAGTCATGCAATTATCTGCTACAGTTCCTTGGTTCTTGCATTCACTTGACCCACCTGCAATTTATCGAAGTAATATCATGTGCAAATAGATTAACAGAAGACTAACTTGGGAGTTTTTTCCCCTTTCTTTTTGTTCCTTGAGTGGAAGTGTGGTGGATGTGGAGGCTATTTTTCTTTTTTACTATGATTTTTAAATACTTCTAACAAAGAAAAATGAAGCATAAGATTAATTACCAGAATGCCTTCTCTCCCATAATACCCTCCCTTCTTGAACGGAACCAGAATTGGAATGCTGTAGAGGGTCAAAGAAGCGAAAGAAACTGATAAATATATGGATTTTTTTCAGCATGTAAAGCTAGATATGCAAAGTTATGAAGTTGGCATCTACTGACACTCGCTGTGTTTAGCAACATGGAATCCTCATCGAAAATTTTCCATTAAAATTTGATACGGTAGCTTTTGAATTCCAATTCTGAACATCCTATGTCCAAATTGCCAGATGTAGCATGTAAGGATTTCATATGGTTGTTTTTGAATTCCAATTTCCACAATCCTACGTCCACATAGACAGATGTAGCATTTAAGATTTGATATGATTGTTTTTGAACTCCGATTTCCAAAAATCTTATGTCCTCAATGCCAAATGAAGCATGCTTGAACTTACGGTGTCTCGAAAAAAGTTCTACATACACAGCAGCTGGCACTATTCATAACAATGGAGACAATACTACTGTAACATCTATATCAGTGGACCCCGCAACATTGATGGAGAAAAAAGAAGCCACTTTAACAATGTCTTTTTAGGATTACCAATACTGTAATTTCAAAATTAAGAAATACTGGACCAATAGGGCAGTTTTGATGCCATCAAGGGATGGAGAGTCCTTGATATTGCAGATACCAAATGTATCTATCCGTTAAAGTGAAAAGACTGCCATTTATTAATTCTTTGGTGCGAATCAAAAAGAAAAACTTGAAATGACTACCCATCATTACTTCTCAAAACTAAAGCACAATAAAATCGTGCCCACTGCAAACATTTCAGAAGTTCCAAGATCAGACCCATAAATGTTTGCACACATAAAAAGTACCAAAAATAATACCTGTGAATCACATTCATCATTTTCCTTTTTAACTACTAGAATGCCAGTCGAATTTCTGCAGAAATCAAACAAAGCTTAAAACTATAAAATCAAAATAAAAAAACAGCTTGTAACAAAAAGGGGTGAAATTTAATAACTCACATGGGTTCGACTCCAATTTCGCTTTCCGGTTTAGCGTCGAAGCCCAAATGCAGACGCTGGCTTGCTAACAACAATTTCAATCGCTGCTTTAACGGCACACGCTCCTGGTCCTCCGACCAAATGGATTTCTGAACTTCATTTTCGGATTTTATTTCAGATTGAGCCATTTCAAGGGGAAAAATGGTTCCTTACTACTGCCAATTAAGACGATTTGGGGGTCATTTTAAGCTTCGAAAATATACTGAAAAAAGCTAGGGCTTTGTGCACAGTCACATAGCAGTAGCGTGGGTACACCAAACTGTGGACGTGGAGAGAGGAGAGGGGATGAAGCTACGTGGGTTTTGGATGTGGGTTGGTGGCGTGGGTGGGGTGATGGCAATGCGAGTTGGCGCGCAGAGAGAGTAAAAAGATTCTAACTTGCAAAATGCCTTTTCCGTGAGAGAGAGAGAGAGAGGGAAAGGCCGGGTGGGGGCGTAGGGGGTTGGGTTGAGAAGCGTGAAGTTGGAGTGGGATTCTTGTAACTGATGCTAAGCAACTTAGTTTTGGATAAAATATCATAATTAGAGTTCCAAATAAGTTGATAGAGTGGTTTTCCTTTCTTATTATTAATTTTTTTACCGATATATATTACAATTTTTACTCACGAGCATAATCGATTCCTTTACATTCTAAATATGAGCGAGATAGTGGAGATTACAATGCTCCTTAAAACCTGAAATAACTAGTTTATATGAACTTAATGTACTTTCACTTTGACAAAAGCTGGGTTTTCCACTGTCAATTTACATTCCAACTTTCTTCCTCCATTTAGGGCCACCGTAATAAGACATAAGAGGAAAGATTTTGGCCCCTCATAGGGTGGTCGAGTTGGTGAAGTAAGTGAGCGTGAAAGTCTTTGGTCACGAGTTTGATTATTCTTACCAACACTTTCTCGATCGAATTTGTCGCACCGAACTTGCCTAGTGCGATTTATCTAGCTGGCGTGATTTGCAAGTTATTGCATCAGTCCAAGGGTTTACCCAGTACACAGCCGGAGGGTAACGACTGCAGTTTCCCCAGTCATTGAAAAAAAGGGGAGGAAAGATTTTGGGATAAGAGCACTTGCTTAGCTTGTTGTGTATTTTAATTTTCTTTTTGTGATGCATTTTTTATCTCCATAATGTTTCTCATCAATGGTAAGAGTATTTATTTTCGTTCATAATCAATATTTATCCGACAATCTGCACCACCTCCAACCCACTTTGAATTGTAACGACATTCAATTGCCGTTACAATTCACCCTGAGTTAAGCCCCTATCTGGTTCACTAAAAATAGTCTTTACTAAATTTTAAGGAAAAAAAATAAAATTGATGGAATGTCTGATTGAAAAATTGATTAAAAGTTGTAGATTTCACTAAAATATGTATTTGAAAAATAAAACAAATAAATTTTACAAAATTGAAAATCACACAAAAAGAGTGAACTAATAAACTCAGCTATTGAGAGTGAACTAATCTTTCGCACCAATTCATTACTCATTGTCTAAATAAATACATGTGATAATGCAAAGAATATATTTATCAAACAGGTTGTTCTAATATTGTCGTTGTTCCTTCACTTTTATTGTAACGTGAATTCTCATTTGAAATATAGCCAACATAGATGCAATTAGACACAAGAAGATGTGGTACAATGCATCGTGCAAATATAAGCATGTTTGGCTGGGGCATAAGAAAAGTAGCCATCTTATAAGTAAAATAAGTACTTAATATAAAGCTAATAATGTATGGATGTATTGTGTACCATACGTTTGGATGGCTTTACTTTGCTTATCCTCACAGTATTTTGCTCGAGATTTAAAGCAAAGATAGTTTTTAGGAGTTTTTCCATGACAAAGAAAACCACATTGTCTGAAAAAATCACATTCTAGACTGGTTTTCAAACTGTAGTAGAAATTCACCGTTGTTGTCGAAGAGTGTTCTTTTGTAATAAATGAGAAAAATTGGAATTCAAATGTAATTATTTATACTTTGATAGGTTGGTAAATGCAATAAACTCGAAGGTAAATTGGTAATTCAATCAATCAACTTCTTATAATATGGGGGTATTTGATAGGCATTTTTTATGTAAAAATGTATTTTAAAATAATAAATTGATATGAAATGTGTGGTTGAGAAATAATGAAAAGTTTTTAATTTATGTGTAATATTATTTTAATAAAGAATGTGTGGTTGAAAAAAAAATATTTTGAAAAAAATGGCTACCAAACAGGGTTATAAATGAGTTATATGGACCAAGTATATGAGCTTATTTCTGCTCAGAATGAATAAGCTATTTCTCTGTTTGGTTTAGGGCTCGTTTGATAGGGATTTTGAGAATTGATTTTTTGACCGTTAGAAGAAAAGTGGGATCCACATGTGAGAGAAGAAGTCAAAAATTACGGCTTGAATAGTAAAATAACGGTCAAAAAATTAATTTTTTGGGGCAAAAAATCGCTACAAACGGGACCTTAGTTAAAAATCAGATTTTAATGAATTCTGATTTAATTGATGAAATATATGATTAAAAATTTCGAGAATTTGAGTGGCAAAATGCTGGAGGAAATTTTGTCATCTGGGTCGTGTTTGATTTGGACACGCAATATAAAGAGTTGAACAAGATCTTTCGATTAGATTGGTTTGACTAAGTAAAACGACCTTTGAGGTTAAACAAATAATTTAGCTGGCGTCAGTTGACTCCTCTGGAAAAAGGATGGACGATGCTGATCGTTTCACACTATATTTGAAGCTTGAAGCATAAGTGGAAAAGCATTCTCATTCTTTAATCAATAGCTTTTTCGGTCTCTGAGCATCGAGTCCAGGAACAATTAACGAGACTCATGGCTGAATATGTTGTAACCTTTTTTTTGGAGAAAATTGCCAGCTATCTGATAGAGGAAGCTAATTCATTGTCTGACATACATGATGAGGTTGCTTCGATAGAGGGAGAATTAAGGCGAATGCAATGCTTCCTTAAAGATGCAGATTCAAAACAGGATGCAAATGAAAGAGTCAGAAATTGGGTGGCAGACATAAGAGATGTTGCATACGATTCTGAGGATGTTGTTGAGTATTACATCTTTAGATTGGCCCAACTTAGGAGAAAAGGATTCTTGCCATTTTTCGCAAGGTACGTTTTCTGCCATGAGTTGATTTTGCGTCGTAAGGTTAGGGAACAGGTCAAAGGGATTAGGATTAGGCTTCAAGATACAACTAACAGTAGATCAACTTATGGGATTGAAAATATTGTTGAAGCGAGTCAAAGAGCAGGTTTTGCAGCTGGCAGTCTCCAAGAGAAGAGACGATCCTCTCCTTATGATTGTGAAGAGGATGTCATCGGTCTTGCTGAAGACATAAAAGCGGTTGAGGCACAACTGATTTATGGAGAGTCCCGGCTATCTGTAATTTCAATTATTGGCATGGCTGGCATAGGTAAGACCACTCTTACCAAGAAAGTTTACCTAAGTTCTGATATTAAGATGCATTTCGATTGTTGTGCTTGGGTTTTTGTTTCTCAAGAATATAGAGCAAAAGATATTTTGAATGAATTGGGGAAAAATTTATTGGGGCTGCGTAAAGCAGACTTAGAACACCGGAACAGTCAAGATTTGCTCAAGACTCTCTCTGTTTTCTTAGAGGACAAGAGGTATCTAATAGTACTGGATGACATATGGAAGACTGAAGTCATGAATGATCTAAAAGAAGCCTTTCCTGAGAAGAACAATGGCAGTAGAGTATTGCTTACAACTCGCTTCAAGGAAGTTGCTCTCTATGCTGACCCAAAGTGTCCTCCCCATGAACTAAGTCTTCTGAAGGACGAAGACAGCTGGAAATTATTTTCGAGGAAGGTATGTGTTAGAATCGACTCATTCGCAAGTTTACCTCCATGGGCAGAAGAATTGGGAAAACAGATTGTCAAAACCTGTGGGGGTCTACCTCTTGCCATAGTTGTATTGGGCGGCCTCTTATCCAGAAAGGATGCTACCTTTATAGAGTGGCAAAAGGTTTTGCAGAGTGTTCACTGGCAGTTAAGACAAGATCCTGCACAATGTACAGAAATTTTAGCATTAAGCTACAATGACTTGCCTTATTACTTGAAACCATGTTTCCTATACTTTAGTCTCTTCCCTGAGGATTTTGAAATCTCGGCAAGAAGATTAATATTGTTGTGGGTTGCAGAAGGTTTTGTGCAGTCCAGAGGTCAGGAGCCACTTGAAGATATAGCAGAGGATTACTTGGAAGAGCTGATTGGAAGGAATATGATACTAGCCGGAAAAAGAAAGTCTGATGGTAGAATTAGAACTTGTCGCATGCACGATCTTCTTAGAGAGTTTTCCATATCAAAGGCCAAGGAGGATCATTTTCTTGAAGTTATCCATGAAGATTCAAGCAACAGTTTTCTTACGGGAGGACGTCGAGTTGGCATTCATTTTGGTGTCCTTCCCACTTCTAGGAGTAGGAATGCTTCAAAACTCCGTACGTTGTTGTGCTTTGATTTGAACAAAACAGATATTCGAAATTTGAAAAGATATAGACTATTGCATGTTCTTGATCTGGAAGGTGTTTACTTGCCTAATCTGGATTGTGCGGTTGGAGATCTCATTCATTTGAGGTACTTGGGCTTGAGAGCAACTTGGTTAAGAAAGCTTCCGATTTCAATAAGATACCTTCTCAATTTGCAGACTCTTGACTTGAGATCTACTTTAATAGACCTTGTTCCATTTGGTATATGGAAGTTTCGACATTTGAGAAATCTATATCTGAATGAGCTGAAAGAGACGGTGATCAGTCCGCCCAAGGGGCCAATTCTGGCTAATCTCCAGATATTGCGTGGGATACACATTGGCTCCAAAAGCTGTGTGGATGGTGGCTTGGACAAGTTGACATTCATCAGGGAATTGGAGCTGCGTGGAGCATTACATTTGCAAGAAGAGGCTATCGCTAAATGGATTTCTTCATGCAAAAACCTGGAATGTTTGAAGCTTCATGATTTTCCTACATTTAAAAATTTTGACAGACCATATATTTCTATTCCCAATATGACATTTTCAGGTCATTGCCGTCTTTTTAAGCTGCATATTGGAGGATTTATCAAAAAGCTACCTGATTTAGAAGATTTCCCACCATACCTAACTGAACTATCATTAGAAGGTTCCTTATTGATGGAAGACCCTATGCTGAAGCTGGAGAAGCTTCCAAACTTGAGAGTTCTAAAGTTAAAACAATCTTCATTCGTGGGGAGAGAATTAATTTGTTCAAGAGGAGGCTTTACTCAACTTCACTTCTTAAAGCTTTCTTTCCTTGCTGTGGAGAAACTGAGGATAGAGGATGGGGCTTTAAGCAACCTCAGGCAGCTAGAGATTATTGACTGTAAACAAATAAAGATTGTTCCAAATGGATTGTATCCTGTGACTACTCTCAGAGATCTGAAATTGGGATATATATCGCATGGCTTTGAATTGAAAGTTCAAGATCGCAGAGGGGAGAACTGGTATAGAATTCATCAAGTACCTCCAATTTAAGGTAAGAACATTTTAGTGGATTCAATTTTCATTGAAGCTGTGACTTCTTTTTAAAAATTTTTGTTTGCCTTACAAGTTTTGTATATAATATTCCCAATGGTTTTTGTTCATATACGCCTTCACTTCATCTTCACCTTTATATGGTAACTCAATAATTTTGACACTTCCTAGGAATTTGTACGTTGGCAATTCTTTCGTAGATACACATGCCAATACTCGATAAATTTGGAAGATTGCCTTGTTGTCTCCCGTGCTGTCATTCGACCAATTTTTCAGAGCTTGAAATAGTTGATCTTCATTTTCAGGCTAAACAAATCCTTTTTCAGAAATTCTACATAACCAGAAGTAGATTCATAGTGATACTCGAATAGTCATAGTTTTCTGCATTAAAACAAAGCAAAAGAGAATTAGCATTATTTTGGATTACCATAATTCAGTACAGCTATGATTAAATTAAATTCTGTTGATTGTAAATAATTTTTGCGGGGAAAGGACAACTCAAGGGATTCTTTTCTTTAATTCTTGATTTTTTTTCACAAAGATGCCTAAGCATACACGACTATTTATAGGTTCTATAAACAATTCTAACTTAATAAATATATTAAGGAAATAATATTACTAACTTCTTCCTTAATTCATGTATGTAACAAATGCATGAACTCAATTTTACATATATTTAAAATATATGAGCAACTCTTAATTAGAATACCTAAATACATGAACATATAGTTTGTTGAGTCTGTCTTAAACCAATTGTATCAGCAGAGTCAATTGAGGCATCCTAGTGTCCACAAGGAAAATATACAAATCCAAAGATTTATCCCTTTTATAAAAAAGATTCACGACCATGCAAAATAGTTTTTTAGTGACTAGAATATTTACGATCGTAAATTGCAATGTTATTACGTGTGGAATGTCATTGCAAATAATTTTATCTTTTGTGACAGTATTATGCCAATCGCTCATAAGAACTTTCTTTTTTGGATTTTGCTACTTATCCATAAAAAAATGTACATAACGAATTACATGATATGATATGGTGGGAAAAGTTCGGATGAAAAAGTTGATTGTGTTTTAAATTGACATATGGTAGAGTGTCATATAGCATTATGTAATCTGTTGTTTAATTCTTTATGTACATGTAGCAAGATTGACTTTTTTATGTACATAACGAATTTTTCTGTTGCAGTTTGACTTTTTTTTTTTTTTGGGCTTATGATTGAAATGGACTGTAATATATAATTTTGACACGAATTATGATAGAGATTACCGTTACAAATACTACTTTTTTTAAATTAATTGCCCTTGTTTCTTGGATCCTTGTATTGGAATTATCTTTTTGCTTTGTTGTTAGTTTTTGGTTGTGATTTTTCTAATGAAATGCAAGTAAAAATTAATCCTTTAATCAGTGAATCTTTTTTAAAGGTGGCTTTGTGGGGTGAACATCAGGTGCATGTGTTTGTCTCTCTGTCATTTGAGGGGTCTCTGAACTTGAATTAGCAGCGTTTTAACAGCATCTTGGTGTGGAGTGGGAAAAACTATTTCTCACGAACTGCAATAAAATTTTGCATAGATTAGTAATCCATGTCCTGGAGTTTGGATTGTGTTTTGTTTGGCAGAAAGGCAGAAGAAAGAAAAACAGAAAACTTTACATTTCTGTCTTATTTATGTATTTCTCCTCGACTCTATAGCTTCTCGGCTGGCTAGTAAAAGAATTGTTTTAAGTCGATTAATTTATTTTAGCCTATGTTTCTTCGAAAGTGGTGCATATTTTGTATTTAAGCTCTAGAAATGTGCAAAGGCCCTGGATTGCATGCATTTAGTATTCTGCAAACTAAATGTGTTGGCATTTTTCTGATGCTGACATATTGTTCTTTTTTTCTACTATAGATAAGGGCAGTAGAAGACTAAGTGACGAAAGGAACTATTTTCCATAGGTAGCATCTACTAGTAAATGTTAAGCTCAAACAACATGGGCGAAATCAGCAAACTACTTATGAACCAGTAATATCTTAGGATTTACTGCCCTTTAGGACTACTATACTATATACATACATAGAAATTAGAATTACTCTTGATCTGATCATCCTGCAATTTGTATATGTAATGAAATTATGAAAATTTATACTTCCCTTTCAGGCTAGTAGAAAATTGGACTGGAAAGTGTTGCTTCCTTCCTGCTTGCTGAAATTTATAAGATGATCGTGGCAGCTCTTCAAATCCTGTTCGATCTGATTAATCGAGGAGATGGAGCTTGATGTATTGCATGTCTTTGATAGATCTTGGAATTTATTATTTCTTGTTAACGTGGAAAAATATTATTAGTGCTTTGTTTTATTTGGTTTTGTAGTAAATTGTTAATGAATTTCGACAGCTTTCATGATTTTGGAAATTGTACCACAATTTTGGTAAAAATCATTCTTGATGTGTCACACTTGGTTTTTTTTTTTTTTTGGCTACTATGGTCCTTAGATCTTGTCCTACCCGTAGCAAATAATTTTGGGATAGTTTGGCGGTGATATTTTTTTTTTCCCTTACAAAAGCTGTATGACCCGATTGAATTTTTTCTCCATGACCGTCCATCTCAGAATGTTTTGTTTGTTCATGGAAGACTGGATTTGCTGCAAAGTAAGAAATGTTGCTGGATTATCATATTATAATTTAGCAGGGCTAAAAATTTGACTTGTAGAACCTGCAAGACATACCCAACCAAGTAAGTTCACAAGTAATGGCAGCCATCGCCCTATATTCTGCTTCTGTTGGGGAGCGAAAACCAGTGTATTGTTCCTTTGTCGTACAGGAGATTGGAGAATTGCTAAGAAAAACATAACCAGAGACTGATTTCCTTGTAGTAGAACCTCCGATTCAGCATCACATTATCCTGTTATGTTAAATTCATAACCTTTTCCAGGTTTTCACTGTGAATAGCGAATTGCTGTATCAATATGTGGCTTGTGGTTGTTGCAAAAACTGATTAAGAAGTTGCACTGATTAAATGATAACCGGTTTTTGATTGTAAGATAAATTAATTTACCAATGAATCTTCTATTTTGATCAGTATTTTTGAATAATTCACCATCTAATGGTGAAAGTCTCAGGTTTTGTTGCACCAAGAAGACCCGTTTCATCAAGAACATCCAAAATATACCTTCGCTGTGAGATAGAAATGCCTTCTAAGGAACGAGCCATTATTATTATTATTATTATTATTATTATTATTTTCAAATCTTTAATTCGAAATTGTTGATTGAGAAGCCTTTTCACATTTGTTATCGCAGAAAAATCATTTCCTATAATAATCATGTCGTCTACATAAAGTAACACTGCAATGAATGAATTTTCACGTAACCATATAAAAAGTGAAGTGTACCATGGATTGTTTGAAACCTGCCTTTTGAATAGCCATAGAAAACTTGGAATACCAATTCCGAGAAGCTTGCTTCAACCCACAAACTTGATTCTTCGTATCAACTGTAGCGAGGTGGTGGAAGCATGTATACTTCTCTCATGAAGGTCACGTTGTAGAAAGTCATTTTGAACGTCTATTTGGTTGAGGGACCAATTTCTAGCAGTGGCTATGGCAAGAAATATCAAACTTTAACAAGTTTAGCAACTGTTGCAAATGTTTCATTGTAATCATCGAATCCTTCAACCGTGTATAACCTTTAACTGCCAATTAGGCCTTGTAATGTTCAACAAAACCATCTGAATTATATTTGATTTTGTAAACCCATTTATGACCAATGGACTTCTTTCTCTAAGGAAAAGAAGAGTATGTGTCCTATTGCCTTCTAATGTTCGGAATTCATGGCCTCCCACAACTTAGGATTTTTCTCGACCTGGCAAATGTGTGAGGCTCAACAAAACTAGATATATTTGCAACAAAGGAAGTATGTGATTATAAGAAATGAATTTGACCTAAAGTTTAAATTCTAAATATGATTTAAAAAATTAATTTGAAGAATTAGTTGGCATCTAACTTAGTTGGTACCTCTACTCCAAAAGTGAAGGAATATTGAAGTTGTAAAGCAAAGAATAATAAATGAGAATAAATATATATCCAGCATGAAAACTCATTTTTGCTTTATTCTTTGCATTTTCTTTACTTTTAAAATTCAGTATCTGAGGGCATTTCATTTGTAGAAGGGAAGCATTTTTTGCACTATATACATTTAACTCTTTAACCTCTTATGATGTTGAAAACAATTGAACGGTAAAATGATATTTCTTAAATCTATTTGAATAGAAATATTATTTGATTACTAGTTTTGTGACATTTTATTAGTCAAGATTCAATCACTTCTTCTGTAACGCCACAACCCGCATGGATCAAAACGTCAATTTTACTTTAGCCGTAAATTAATTTACCAAATTTTTAGTGGAAGATATAAAGATTAAATTTTTTAAAATTTAATTCAAGAATTTTTTATTATAATTTAATACTAAAGAAAGCAATTTTTAAAAAAAAATCGAATTCATTCATACTGTATATGCACTTTACATGTTGGATTAACGCATATCGTATTTGCAACATATCATATTTACAGCATACCATATTTGCATCATACCGTACAACATACCTTATAAGCATGTAACCACTATTGACGTGAAATTTTACAAAACTTTAAAAGTAATATTGCTATTTTAGTTTTTGTCTCAACGGTAATTGTCCAAATAAATTCGTTTGCATGGCTATCAAACTCGAAAATTCGTGAAATTTTAGCGTAGAGTTGAAAACTCCTTATAATATGATATATCCAAAAACCGTCTCTGGTCGATAGCATATAGGGTACTAAACTATTTTTCAAACCTCGCAACGACTTGGGCTGAAAGGTAACCCAATGCTATTTACCTTAAAGGTCATATAAAAATCTACACACATCGAATCAACATAATTTCAACTATACTCAGTAGCTAACTCTTGAAACTATCAAACCCAATTGGTTTCATCAGGAAATCTAGAGTAATGAGTGAGTTATGAATTTTTTTAAAACCATTGGCAGAAGCTAAAAAACAGAGACAGCACCCAGTGCAGTTTACATTATGTGCCATATAAATTTCTACCGACATCGGATTGATATGCTTCCCAGTTCATTCAGTAGCTAACTTATTAGGCTATTCAACGCCACTGATTTTGCAATGCCAAGTAATGAAAGAGTTATGAACTTTTAAAGATGAGGCAGAAACTGAAATTTTTTAAGAGATGGCAAAACTTTAAATCGCTAATATTTTTTTTTGTAAACGGTGATTTGTAAATTTATTTCTATGACACATATTTACCTTCAAATATAATTTATTCATAAGAAATGTTCTTAGATTAGTCCAATATGACGTCCATAGAAATAAAAAAAAAATATAAACGTAAACATTCATAATTTAATTAAAAATTTCAAGTCATCGGCTTTTTCCATGGCATGACGCATCTCCATCTACCATCGTCCACGCCCCCAAGCAAGTCAAATCAATCTGTAGAAAGGAAAATTAATGCATGAGTTTGAAATTCAATAGATATCATTGGTGCACTTCGTTCTCATATTAAAAATTTCGAACTATAGATTCATACCGTCGCACATAGAAGAATTTTCGGCAAAATCCAATTTCTGTAGCATTGTTATAACATGTAGAGCTGGAAAATGATCATTCAACTATTGTAGTGCTGAAGCACTATACTCGGAGGTACCATTTCATTCAAACATTTACGAAAATTCATAATTTGGACACGAAATAACACTTGCACCTCTACCTATCTACGTTTGACACCTTTGAAGTGGATGAAATTGGACGATAAATATTGTTTTCCCTTCTTTACTTTTGAAAGCTTTTTTCTTGTATTGTGTATATATGTTAAAAAAAGGATACGAATAACTTGAAAGAAATGTAAATCAAGTCTCAAATTCTAGTAGAGAAATGTTGCGAACATTAGAGGAGTTTGAAAACATTTTTTTTTTTTTTTTTTTTAGCTAAAGTTTAAGTTAAGAAATGAAAGGCCAAATCCCTTATTCAGAAAAAAAAAAGTAGGCAGCATTTAAATTTTTACGTGTGAGTGTGTGTATATTTAAATGTATAACTGACAAATTGAAAGTGAAAGGTGGAAAAACGGTGGCCTTCAATTACTCACCATTGAAGACAAATTAAAATTGATTATAATTGGTAAAAGGTAGGTGACAAATTCCAATTTCAAATGCACTGAAAACTGAAAACGTGTGTGTGTTTGCAAATTAATGATTTGTTTATTTACCAATTGATGAAATATGTTCGTGTGTATATTAATATATAGTTTGTCATCATTTTTTCTTTAAATCTTTGGTCCCTAAACAAACTAATCAAAATAAGGAAGTAACATAACCTCAATTAAAACTTAATAAACTCTATTTTAATTATAATTCTATTTTTTTCTTATAATTCAGTCGTTTAAAAATAACGCGTACGAAAATCAAATTTTAGAAATATTTACTATACATAAATTTTCACCATCAGGTCAAATCTTTGGGAAAACATTAAATTCTGTCCAACTTCATTTAAAAATTATTTAAAACATCGTGGATAAGTATTGAGCTTTCATTTCTTGTGTGGGTCAAGCATAAGGTTCGTCTATAGGTTAAGCATCGTGATGCTAGATCATCACCTAAAAATATGAGCCTAATTTCATTTATATATATATATTTTTTGGGCTTCTACATCTTTTTCTATCTTTCTTGTAAACGGGCATTATCAAACTATTCACTTTCTCAAACTATTTACTTGTTTTAGTGAATGTCCCAATGGTTTCTTTGTGCGCTTGCATTACTCATAATCGTGACTTTTAATTTTTATTTTATTTAATCAACATGACTGAGAACAAATTGTATACGTTTAATATGATCAAACATGTTGTATGAGTAAAACAAGGTAATTGAATTTAATTTGAGAAGTTATTGTTACTTTGGCCATGTTTGGTTCAAATTCATTAAAAATCATATTTTCAAATTTATTTTTAACCGCACGTTCTACCAATAAATTAATTTTGTATGTGGATCCATAATTTTTCTCTACTTCTTAGCTGCATATTTTCAAAAAAATATAAATATCACATTTCTCAGAAAATCTATATCAAACAGGTCTTTTGTCGTGTGAGCAATTGTCTCTATGATGGTTTTACAATTATAGATTTTGAAGTTAATTCCACCTAGAATAGTGAAGTTATCATGTTCTACCAATCATAGTAGACCATTTGTCGAATCACATAAAATTCTAATATTTTGATTTGTTTGCACATCATGTGGTATTAGAGCAAGGCTGGGTTTTGTGAGGATGGGTGGAAGCGAAGATCGAAAATACATAGAAGTATTTAACAAAACAATAAAAAGGTTTGCTTTGGAAGAAATGCTTGAAGAAATTCCTCTATGAAGGTTTATGGAATATTCAAAGGCAATGTAAAACGAGCTTAAGTTTGGCTCACGTTTATAATCTGTTTATAAATGCTCAAATCATTCTTTTATTCACTCATTTCGATGGATTTACATAATTTTTTATAATTTAAATAGTTTATAAATACTTCTCAAACATATTTACGGCTTTGAAGGCAATCCCACGACAAGTTTTATTTATAATCTATATAGATAGGTTCTAATATTCATTGGCAACAGTCCAAGTCCCATATGTTTAAATGAAGGAAGTCATGTATATATTATAGTTATAATTTCAATATTTCGACTCATTTCTATTAGTCTAGCATATGTTCGACTTATGTTTATTAACTGTTTATGGATGTTAAAGTTGTATATTTTTTTATACATTTTGAGGGATCTACAAGAACTGCTCACTTACACTCATCTTTATATGTTTATAATTTAAATCGCTTATAACTACTTCCCAAATATATTTTTAGTCGATTCATAACTTCCAGTATTTAACATCTATTATGCAAGATGCTCAGCTTAAGCTTTTAAATAACCTTTTGATCTAATTCCACCAACGTAATAGGTCAATTGTACACCCTAATTGGCCAATATCATCTTCAATACATATATTTTTATGATCGAAGTTTATGTATAACAAGATTTTCCTCAATCCTTGTGTTAAGTTGTTTCTCATGACAACATGTTCGAGTTCAAACACAATGACAACAAAATTAAGATCAACAATAATCATCATAATTTATTCATCCACAATTTATATTAAAATAAAATTATAATATCCCTGAAGTTTTCCATAAAATAAACGATGGAAATAGGAAAAGTAAATCAAATTATTCAACATTACATGGACTATAGTGCATATAAATAAAATAAAATAAAAAGTTCGGCAATAAGTTTATAATGAAATAGATTGAAAAAGTTATCAATTTCAGCAAGTTTCCTTCAATTCGTCAAACCGTCCAAAATTCAGTTATTTTAACTATACATCTTTCAAATTGGTCACAATTATATATCAATTATGCATAAACATTTTTTTCGTCCCCAAGCTTGATCCCGGTTCGGAACTTACAATTTTTAGTCAAAGTCAAATTTTAATTTTAATCTTACATTCACAACCATCATCCATTTATCATACACATTTTTGACATCACAATTTCGGAACTTTGGCATTAATATGGTAATTATACTTTAATTTTAATCTTGTTTAATCAATTACATATACTTTAAAATGATTTAGTCAAGTGATAGTACTTTTTTATTTGATTTTAATTGGGTAGCTACACTTTAATTTTATTTTAATTAAGATAACTTTCTCCAATTTTACCAATAGAAATTGATGTGTCAATCAATAAACGATGATCATCATGCGTAACAGTTAGTTGATGACATGAAATATGCACAAGTTTGGTGAAATAAATGTGGAGGAGGGTCTCTTGTGCGCAGAAGTGTACAATCAATGAGGGGAACTTGTGATCCAGTTGAGGCATAACCCGCGATTTACCCCCTCCAAGGTTCTAGGGGCATGGATCTTGGAGGTCCTGGGATTTAGGGCCTGTTTTGTAGGGATTTTGAGAATTGATTTTTTGACCGTTAGAAGAAAAGTAGGGTCCACACGTGAGAGAAGAAGTCAAAAATTACGGCTTGAATAGTAAAATAACGGTCAAAAAATCAATTTTTTGGGGCAAAAAATCCCTACCAAACAAGGCCTTAGTCTGGTGTAAACTGGGATACCTGGATATTAAAAAAAAAAAAAAAAAAGTTTGGTGAAATAAATTGCGGGCTTTATTTGTTGACTATCAGTTCATTGATTTTCGTCAATCTAGAAAATGCAATCGAATGGATACTCGATTGAAATCTATTTAAAGTGAGATATGCAATTGAATAAATTTAAAGTTCGACTACTTAATTGATATTAGAGTAAAATATAATTACCATGAATATAATTTACCCTACATGTACGTTCTGGCAGCTGTGGAACTTGAAAGCAATGCCTTTGGTTTCTTCATGGACACAACTATCACCAGGAAATGCAATTTACTACTCATTAACAGCTAGTCATTTCATCGAACACATCGCGGACATGCTCTTTATTCCTTGCCCCTTTTCCAGTTGCAAATCAATGCATATGAATTGGTAATTCATATTAATTAATTCGCCGAGAATCACAAGTAAAGAACAATACCCAGTTTTTAGTTTTCAATATTCATTTCTAGATTCTTCAATCGAAAAACACCCACAAAAGTGCAGAACTTTTAGAGTATTTGTACCCCCACCACGTGAACCTTCCAGCTTTCTCTCTATCCCGCATTCTCATATATATTGTACCTTTATATATGCAGACACTCAAAACAACTTCAAAGGGTTCATCAATTCTGGAAACAAAAGTGTTAACTAGTCAATCGGATGTCGGTTTCTTGTGGGGTGGAATGTGTGGTGATTTTGGGTTGCATTAGGTGGGCATGGAAGCGCTGCACCTATATCGGCAGCGACGACAGCGCTACCTGGTCCACCGCTACCCATGAGGAGTTCGAACCTATCCCTCGTGTCTGCCGCATCATATTGGCCGTGTACGAGCCCGACCTCCGTTGCCCCAAGTATACCCCCGCCGGTGGCTACCGCTTGAACCCCGATTGGGTCATCAAGCGTGTCACCTACGAGGACACACACGGCCACGCACCGCCTTACATAATTTACCTTGACCATGACAATCGTGAAATAGTACTAGCCATTCGTGGGTTGAATTTAGTTAAAGAAAGTGATTATAAGTTGTTATTGAATAATCGGTTGGGTATGCAGATGTTTGATGGAGGGTATGTGCACCATGGGTTGTTGAAATCGGCTACATGGGTTTTGAACCATGAATCAGAGACCTTGAAGAAACTATGGGAAGAGAATGGGAAAGAGTACAACATGGTTTTTGCTGGGCATTCATTGGGGTCTGGGGTCGCAGCGCTTTTGACTGTGATTGTGGTGAATCATGGGGATAAACTAGGGGGGATTCCGAGAAGTTTGGTGAAGTGTTACGCTGTGGCTCCGGCGCGCTGTATGTCACTCAACTTGGCCGTGAAGTATGCTGATGTTATATGCTCGGTCGTGTTGCAGGTGAGTGATTTTCTTTTTATCCCTTTGTATGAATCTGATTAACTGGATTTTTGAAAGGTAAATGTTGATGTGGATATTAATGTGATTTTTATTTCTCTTGAGTTGGATAAATATAGGGTGTCGACTTGTTAGGGAAAAAAAAAATAATTCACTAAAATTCTTGTAAGAATTTGATCATATATAACAGGTCGTCCAAAAATATCGTTATCTCTTATTTTTGAAATCCTACGTTGCCTTGAATTAATTTTCGCAAAAAAAATTGGTACTTTAGACCTTTTTTTAGGCTGTTGCTTGACCTGTCCTCGAAGGAATCCTACAGCTCTAGTGATGGAGAAAGATGCAGTTTTTCCTTTTTTTCATTTTTCATTTTTCATTTTTCTTTTTTTCTTTTTTTTTTGTGTGGGGGAGGGGGAATGAAGGCAAACAATGGCAAGAAATCCAACTGCCGATTGAAATCATAAGACCACTTTAAAATACTCTTAGGACAGTCATGGATAAACCATAAAGGTTTCAACAACCTACTTGGTGTTCTTGAAAGTATTAAGTTAATAAATCCTACAAAAATGAACCATAAAGGTTTTGACAACATTATGTAGTCTTCTCGTTCTTGAAAATAATAAGGATATTCTATAATAGATCCTAAAGAAAATTCTCCTTTAAAACAAAAATAATGAACTAGGTGCGAAAACGTTTCAATCAATGCAAACCGAGAGCGAAGCTTCTGCATTCTTCTTCAGAAGGCTGCTTGATAGGAACAGAATATTTAACCTCCCTGCCGCATTATTAGCAAAGGATTTCTTCAAGGAATGTGGGCAATTTCGTATGTGGATTTATAGATTTTTGGCTATAAAAAAACCAGAAAAATCTTATGGTTTTGTTGGTGGCGGCCATGGTTTCCATGGTCAACCACAGGGGAAGAGAGGCATCAGAGAAGGCTCAAGATTTGTTTTCTTTCTGAATTTTGCATGATCAGTTACTCCAAGGCATTCTGACAGAATAGTTTGATTATCGGGTTATGTTTTATCATATGAGATATTGTTTACATGACATATGTCAACAGAAAGAAAGAAAGATTGATATGAAGAATGAGAGGAAGGATAGAATTGGGAAAATATAAAGGTTGATTTGGAAATTAGTACAATTTGATTGATTTGATTATAATAGCGCGTGAAAATTTGTTAAAATTGATGTTCCCGTAGGACTAGTTTCCATAGTTTAGGTAGAAAATGTTATTTTTCTGCAAATCATCCGGGTTAATATTTTACACAATTGACACATGAGAAATGTAAACCATGAAAATGTCTTCTTATATAGTGCCACTATTTTATGTAGTACTCTCTTAAAATGCGTACTACCTGATATAAGACTCTTTTAACTTTTTGCTTATATCTGCTATAGCTAATCAGAAGTCTGTTTTCGAATCATGTAAAATGCCTGCTTTAATAGTAAATGAAAATGTGCAATGTCAATCTTAATAATTTGATATTTTTAGTTTTGGTAGAATATTATGCTAGTGCTGTCATATTGTAATACTGCTATAACTGTCCAGGATGATTTTTTACCAAGAACACCCACTCCATTGGAAGATATATTCAAATCCATCTTCTGGTCAGTTATCACATCTCATAATACTTGAGGCTCTAAGATGCTGTTAACAATTTTATGATCTTTTGATTTGTTGCCTTTAAAAGAAGTGAATTGCTATAGTCATTTTTTAAACCAGGCCTTAATGGTTTGGACAGTTTGCCGTGCTTACTGTTTCTCGTGTGCCTGAGGGATACCTTTATACCGGAAGGTAGAAAGCTCGGAGATCCAAGAAGACTGTATGCACCCGGTCGAATTTATCACATTGTGGAAAGAAAATTTTGCAGGTAAAATTGCACTTTTTTCCAAGTGATATAAGAAATAATCATGTTTTTGTTGGCTTATCAAAACAAGTGTCAATTGATTTTTATCATAATGAAGTGAATCCTTTTTGTGCCTGTTCTGGGGTCCAATCATGGCTCTGGTAACTCGGTCAGTATCAGAATTTGATGCTCTAGAATATAACTGTGTTTTAAAATGTGTTATCAACAGGAAAGGAGGAAAGGAATTTTTCAAACTTGTCCACTCCATTTGCAATAAAAGAATCTTCTTATTAATCCTGATTTAAATATCAAAATTACGCCCTATGGATTGTTAATCCATTTAGACTTGTTCGCTCTACATTTTATTTCCTGCAGTATTACTTGGCCTTAGTGATGGACAGTGTGAAGATATCTGTGAATAGCTACTGTATTGGGACAATCATAATCATCTGCTCCTGATTGCTAAGATTATTTTCGTAGTTTCAAAGGGCAAAACACATTCTATGCATCCTACATTAACGTTACCCAAAATTTTATCATCATAATAATTAAAGAAATGGGAAAGTTAACTTCCATACCCCTTTGGGCATTTTAAGCCTCTTTCCAATTTTAGATTGATTCAACCAAATAAATTCACTTCTTCACTGTATGAGTACTTTGAGAACTTAACTCAATCTTCTCTTCGTCCAGTTTTCCATGCCTATTTTTGTAATTCGCTATATATTTTTATTAGTTTTTCAAAACTGTAATAGTCATCTAAAGAAACTTGAGAAATACTCATTTACCAAGTCTCAACTATGAGAGCTTTGGGGACTTCTGCATCACTTCAAAACCTTTTATGCTAGTCCATGTTTCCCTGATTAGCTAGACCCAAATAGCTGTATAACTAGTAGAACGTATTTTATATCGTGCTTGATTATGTCCAAAGTGTTTCTTGCCGACCAATAGTCGTTGCAAAGTGAAGTTGAATATAACTTAAGAAGATGTTCACACAGAAGTGTTTCCCGAGTATATCCTACCATTGCAAGCCTTGGGGTTGGCAAATATTCCAAGTCTCAACTGCTTTTTATTTTATTTGGGTACTTGGGAAAACCCTTTTTACCCCCAATAATTAAGAAAAAACTCAGTAACCAACCATTACCCACGACATCCAGCAATTATTTTCGTTTGATTTATATTCATCTATTTTGAAAGAGGGAAGACAGTGTGATGCTCAGAATTTTTTTTATACTTCCACTAACAAGAAAAACATATAGATTGATTGTTCTTAACTTGTATTCACTGTTTGCTACCCACAGATGTGGAAGGTATCCTCCAGAGGTCAGAACAGCCATCCCTGTTGATGGAAGATTTGAACATATTGTCTTGTCATGCAACGCTACATCTGATCATGCTATTATTTGGATAGAACGAGAGGCAGAACATGCTCTAGAAGTAAGTAGGTTAAAATATGATTCTTTTTTTTTTTTTTCCTTTTTTTTTATCTACCGTATAAAATCACTATCATAATCAAGTATTATCTAGTTTGCAGGCATTAATTTTTCTTGTTTCTACCTTGTCCTAGAGAAAATGAGTAAAAACTCTTTCTTTCAATTAATGTTGCTATCTGAGTACACTGATGAGTTCGAAATGATCTGCATGAATCAGTTGGTGGTACTGTACTCAATTAACTTAGATTAGATGAATCTTGTCGTGTCAATAAGGTAAAACTAAAGCTGACTAAATTTAGTAACAGTCCTATATTATATTTGATTTTTCAAGATGCTAACTAAATCTTTAGACGCATCGATTCATTTGTCGTCATATCTGGATTCTAGATTGTTTGAACAGCATGACCTTCCTTACTACATATCTTTAACCCCCTGTTTGGCCCCCATTAATTTTGATTATAATGGGGGGAATAGTGTTTTTATTATTATTTTATTTTAAAAATGGATGGTTGTAAAAGAATGAAAAGTATCCGATTTACGTGTAATATATATTTTATTGAAAACTGTATGGTTGAAAATAGGAAAGAGAAATTTAATTTAATTTGATAAGATGTATTGGGGGCCAAACAGGGGCTAAGTGATAAAAGATCTACAGTCAGGAAAACCAAATGCTTCAACTATGCCAAAAATTTGCTAGAGGTGATGTTCTTCTTTAAATGTACGTAATAACATGTAGATATTGTCATGCAGAAGCTGAAAGAGCTTAGTACAGAAACCACCACGACCCCTCCTAGAGTCCAAAAATTTGATAGGAAGCAGACAATTGAAAAGGAACACAAGGATGCTTTAGAGAGAGCTGTGAGTCTGAATATACCTCATGCTGTAGTCAATACTGGAGAAGAATCCTGTGTCAGCATTGAAGAGTCGTCTTCAGGGGACAAGAATATCGAATCTTCAAAGGATGAAATAGAGGATTCCAATAAAACTAATAAACTGTCGAGTGAAAATGCTAGAACTAATTGGAACGAAGTAGTTGAGAAGCTTTTCAAGAGGGACGAGTCGGGGCAATTGCTACTGAAAAGAGACACCTCTATTACTCAATAATGAACGTTTTGATATTTTTTTTTTCCCTCATCGATAGTACATTGCCAGTGTAATGTAAGGTTTGGTTTAGAGATTAATCTTCTTTCCGCTTGTTGGTTCTTACCATTCTTTCTTGTACAAGGTCTATGTACCTTGACAACTGTTGATGTATAATTATCCTTGGCTTGTAAAGGATAATGTACAATTTGTGTAGTAGCGTAAAGGAAACTGTTCACCCTTAAAATGAGCAATGCATTCTTTGAATCCACTTAACACTAAAAACCCATTTAAAAGGCAAAAGCTGCTAGCTTATATAATTTTTTAAAAGTGTTCTATCTTCATAAAGGAGTTTCCAGAGGAAACTAGATAAAGGAAGAAAAAACTCATTTTGTAAAAAGCAATTATAGAAAGTTGTCCTAACACACCTAAAGCTCGAAATGTAAGGAAGCAATTGTGAATTCACATAAAAGACACACCTTTGTGTTATGCTTTGCTAAGTTATAATTTAAACTGATTTAACATACTTATTTATCTGCGCATCCTGTAGAATTTAGAGTTATAAGCACTTAAAAGAACTATCAAAAAAGAATGAAGAAGAACCAATCTTTTGCTTTCACCCACAGTAATCCCATTTCGAGGTTAGGGTCCAATGGATATTTTCTCCGATTCAACTACAACAATTGGGCCAAGTACAGGAAGTTTCATCGACACTAATAACAAACGAAAATGCAGTTTTAAAGCTCTCAAATTAGCAACTCGTATACACACAAGATGTAAAAGAATGACTGAGATTGCAAAAACATCATTCTAATTCAATCAATGAAAGTAAAACATCTATAGCCATATAGCATATCATTCGTCCAAAAACGTCTAAAACACAACCAAAAACCACTGAAATTGTTGGCCATTTTATGGCTAGAATTTTAAATAGACAACTATCCAAAAAGAGCTTCAAGAATAATCTAAATTTGCATTGCTTCTGCATGATAGTTTTCCAGCTCCTTGTCAAGATCCTCAGCTGATTTATCCACAGTTTTCTTCACCCAACGTGCTCCACCACGGCCACGGCCTCGGCCTCGGCCTCGACCGCGTCCTCCTCCACGTCCACTGTATGAACCACCACGGCCCCTCTGACTGATCAAAATATAGACAATCACACATTAGGCTCAAATTGTTAGTTGCACAAGACTATGGATAAGAACAGCAAAAGTCTGACTACTGGCCAGAGCCCAGGGGCGTTGGTGTTTCTATATTTCGCTCTATACTTTGAAGCACAGTTATCAAAAGCTTATTAAAGATTGTGCGCAAGGCGCATTGCAAATTGTCAACCAACCAATATTTGAAGCAATACATTTGAAAGAACTGCACAAGGCCAAACTCTGAAAGAGAAATTCAAGCAAGGTTATAACGCTTCATTTTGCCTGCCTAAGGAATCGAAGTTCATAAATTCCACAAATCAATTTGAAATTAGACATGCTCACACCATATAAATTAGCTTCCGTTCAACTGAACTCAGGCATCAGAATCTCAAGTAATAAGTCAAAAGTCGTGTCTAGATTTCATGGATTACATTACCAAAAATGGAAAAAGAAGGTTAGTTAAACCAAATATCGTTAGGGTAGCAGGCCTTTGGATGAAGAATGGGTATAGATGTCATGCAAGAGTGTCTTGCAGACAATTAACTACTGATGCAAACATGCATTTGAACAAGCTTCTGCATGTTATTTGGTTATCAAGCTTAACCTATGTTTGGCCCCATTTTTTTCAGAACTCATTTTCAACCACACATTCTCCCATAAAATAATAATACACATAAATCAAAAAAATTTCCTTATTTTTAACCACACGTTCTCCAAAAAATCACTGTTCCAAAACTCTGTGTCCCCAAATTTTAATTAAAATGGAGCCCAGACGAGCTTAGTTTAATCCCATTCCCATCGAAGTACCATGATTACTCATTACTGTGGAAAAGTATTAACTAAGAACAGAAAACCATAAATTATTTCCAAAAGCAACAAATATTGAATTCAAGAATTACTGCATGCATCATAAGATCATGTAGCGACAGAATTTTAAGAGATTAGATATCAATAACAATTTCAATAATACGACATGCACAAGGAAATGCTCATAGGCAACCTACACATAATTACGATTGGAAGCAATAAAGCTGCTTGTGGGATGACCTGGTCGAGACCTGCACAATAGACAGCATCCAGTTTAAAACCTTGCTGCAACATTTGAATAATAAGGCTATCAAGTATAATGTAAAACAAAATCCAATGATAGTCAAGCACAATACGACGGGGTTTTCTTTACAAGACTGGAATATCAATCAGGATGAAGTAAAGCTCTCTTAGAACATGTTTGGTTCAAGGTTATCAGAAGTAAACAAGTAAATCTGCTTATAAGTACATCAACTCAAACATGTTCAGCTGGGGGGATTTAGTAATATTAAACGAAATTAAGTAGCAGAAATTAATTTAATTTAGAGCCTGTTTGGTACGGATTAAAATCTGATTTTAATTTAAGTCAATGTCAAACAATCAATATTAACCACATTTTTCATGTGTCCCACAATTTTTCAACCACACATTTCAAAAACATCTATCACAATCTACTAAAAAAATCTAATTTTAGTCCCAACCAAACACCCTCTTAATGTTTCTAAAAATAGTGTTCAAATTGTCAGTTAATTTCAAATATCATGTATGTTAAATATTTGTGGTCTAAATGATAAATATTTTTAAAATAGGTTGGCAAAATAATTAAATATACAACCACTCGAATTTTGTTATTAATTTCATGTATAAAACATACTTTCGGTAAAATTCAGACAAAATTTGTGTTATGAAGCTTTATCAAAAATTAAATACTCAGAAAAGTAAACTTAATCCAAGTAAACAAACTCTTGAAAAGATAAGAAAAAAATCCAAGACATCTCTTCCACCATTAAAGACACTCTAACAAAAAGAAAAAAGGGAATACAGATAGAATCAGCATCCAAAAAATTAGAAGGAATTGTAGTCACATACGCCATGGTAACTGTCCTTTTTCCATTTGCTCTTCCAACTACATTCATGCGAGCTGAAATAGGGATATCTGCATTGACACCCATTATCTCAATCTTCATAGGCTTCCCATCCAATTGGACATTGTTATATTTCTTGAGTGCTTTGAATGCATCACTTCTTCTGGCAAAAACCACTTCAGCCGAACCCTGGGCCAGAACATAATATTTTAAATTCATATAAAAGTATGAAGTGCATCAACAAACTAATGCAAGCAAACACAGACTACAGATAAAATACCCCAAGTGTCACAAATCTTTTCGGAAAAAATATTGTACACCATTAGGAAATCAAAATCAAAATGGAAGCAATATATCTCCAGACAGAACAAGGTAAGAAATAAAGGTACAAAAATCTTCAAACGCATTATGAGTACTGGCGAGGGAAAAGACAAATGAGACGTGCATCAGAGGTACTAGGTCTCCAATGTGTGGATAAAATAGTTCAGGGAAATGGCATGTCAAACAAGAGCCAGGAGGGTCCCAGAAAAGAATAAATATCTGAAGCACTACATTAACTGATAAATGCCATTGCAACACACAATACAAAAACAAAAAAAATGAAAAATGAGTTCAGCAGTTGAATTAATTACAGCTGCTTATTGCTTTACAGTCCACATGCATTATCATTATTTAGCAAGCTACAGGTCACTTTTTTGTGACAACAGCAGTTTACATGTGGGATACAGCTCAATAAATTAGAGATAAATAAACGTGATTACTGGAGCGGAAACAGCTCCAGAACAGGATACAGGAGTATGTCAAGATGGATCCCAATTTAAATAGGTCTAAAATGACTCAAGCATAATGAAATTAATTCACAAAGCCTCATACTCACACTAGGTCGCCCATTTCTGTCATAGTGAATTGCATATCGTATCACTTCCCCAATCTCAGAAAAGAGTTCCTGCATTAGAAGTACTTTTTCAGGAAATCTTCAATAGAAAATCCTTTAAAAGATGAAGGCTCAGCTCAATCTCAGTACCCTTATATCCTGATTTGTCACCCCAATGTCCAAGTTGGAAATAAATATCTTTGTGCCATTTTCTAATCCCGAAAATCCAGCTGCTTTAAGACCATCTTCAAACAGACCATTCTGCCATGGCAAATAATTGGTTCTGCGGACAGACTGATGCAAGCAAACCAGAAATATACTGAGATTGGAAAAGTAAATGTCATCATAGGACCCAGAATGTTATATTTTATAATTCTTCAAGATAAAGCTGATATCAGCAAACTTCCATTACATTGTTACATCAAAATGCTCATGCAAGATAATCCAATTCCATGGGATATTGAGTACAAAATTTAGTGCATATGGGAGTTTTAGATTTGATCCACATGCTGTCAACTGGTTCTATGCAAAAGGTGAGAGCTCCAGTTTTGATATTCAGCGAAGGAAACCACCTTTGCAAAAAGGCCATGAACCCAGATAGTTACTGCAACCTTGCCAACAATGCAATCTAACGTGTAGTAATGAAATTCATCATAAAATGATCCACATTTTGCAACGTATCACCAAAACTCCCCCTCTAAACTATCAAGTGGTGAACTAGAGTGGTCCTTGTTAAATATAATAACTTAAGATGGCTAAGAAAACTCAAGCCTCAAGTTCATTAGCGGATATTAAGTGGTGAGAGCTCATAAATTGTCAATTATATAAGATGCTATGTATCATCATCCCTTTAGCGTCACTGAAGATCTTTTGACAAATAGATCCATAGCAAAGTTCTTGAGCAAAAACCCACATAAACAGAAGAATCATCAGGAACTTAGAACATATTCAATAGAATTTAGCGGCTTTGTTACTGCTGAGTTACTGTGGTCTTCTCCCTGAATCAAACAGAGCCACAATATCTCTTGCACTTGATTTTCTATGGCAAAAGTAGAACCTTTTGTATGAGACGCAAAGATATTGTCTACAAAATGCATAGTTTCGAGCATGCCTTGGCAATGGTGTAGACTGATGGTCGAGCATTTAAGCTGAGTGGGCCTCTAGGTCGAGTCCCAGTTGTTCTTCCACCTCTAAATGACCGACCTGGCCCTCTACCATGTCGAGGCCTGCCTAGTCCTCTACCACTGTCACTATTACGCCTGTTCTTTATCATATCATCAAGAGATATATCCAAAGTGGCCATTGGTTATGAAGACACAAAACTCAAGCTGATCAAAGTAAATCTGAAAGAAAAAACAATTATCAGGTTCCTGCGCACGAAAGCTAGATAATATAATTCCTAGCTAACAGTTTAGTGCATGAAGAAGGATCAAACACCAATCATCTCATATGCCAAGATGGCTGTTTAATATTACTGGGTGACTGGGTCAGACAGAAGCTCAAAATCACAACTAATTCAGGACAAAAATTCTGTAACAGGCAGGTATAACATCATGACAAAACGAAGATGCAGGAAGAAACATTAATCACAACAGTGTCAAAAGCAATACAGTCAAGTAACTACATGGGTATCAGAAGTAATAATAACCAACAATGGAAGTTCAATGACTCATAAACAGCGGGTTTTCATCCAGATAGAGCATTTATTTCATGAAGAATCAGGCAAGTAAGTTCCCAACATAGCAATGAAAGGAGTTCGTCCAGGTTCAAGACCATCTGTATATACCATAACTGACAGCAAGTCACCCAAATATAGGACCATTAATTAGCCAACCACATAAAGCATACACCAATCAGATACAACGTGCTACTAAAAAACATAGTTAAAACATTGTTTGCGCGCATAAAACTAGAAGGATAAGAGTAGCAAAGTTAACAACATATTCTAATTAATTTATGCATAACACTTGATGTGGAAAAAATAGATCTTGGAATAAAACAGACATCTAGCCATGATTACAGAAGGAAAAAAGTTACCAGCAGCACTCAAGAAAAAAGGACGAAACAGAAGGAAAAAATCAGTCCCTAGCAAGCTAGAAAATATATTTACTCAACACGTTAAGATCCCAGGATAAAATCAAGCTAATCAACTCCACGGGCGAAAACTCAATACAGAAAAACATAACATCGTAAAACTAATACATGGCGATGAAGAAGTTACCCAAGTTAAAGAAATGATGATGCGGGTAAATCTGCGATTTCAGGAACAAATTAATTCGGGGGAATAAAATGAAAACGAGGAGGAGAATCGGTTAAGATGTGAAATTTTTAGGTTTAGTGACACATTGGTTGATAGACGGATTACAGAGGGGAGTTTCGTGGAAGAGTTAGGGCTCGAAGACGCCTTATAGGGATTTTATAATGTAGGGTTGAAGTGGGGGACGCGTGATGAGAGGACATTAATGGTATTTTCCCACTTAATTGGCCTCGATAAGGAAAATATATTTGGGCCCATATTTGATAAGATTAAAATCAAATTTTTAGTAAATTTTGATAAAAATTAATGAAAATATATAATTAGAACATTGTAAATATCATAAAAAGTGAAATATAAATAATAAATAAGTAAAGGGAAAAAATGACGATGAGAAATGAAAAAAAAAATTAATTCTCACCCATCTCGCCTCCAAAAATCTCGAGGACCGGAGGCCTCACCATTTTTATCTTTACGAGAGTCGATGAACTTTTGGTTGGCATGGCACTACACAAGAGTTCATACACTACCTAAATGTCTTTTACAATGTCAAATTCCATGCGTGGTCCATGCCAGGTGAACCATTGAAAGTAGACATTTTGTAAAAAGAGAGCATCGACTCTAAGGATGGCAATGGGCCCTTGGCTCGACCAATCATTTTTACAATGAAAAATTTTTATATCTAAAAGATTAAGTTTGATTCAAATCAAAGAAATATCACAATTAAAATTTTTTATAAGGCACAATTTATTCATATGTCGCAAATCAAGAAATTTATATGTTACAAATGACAAATTTTATAAGTCACAACTCAAATTTTTAGATCACATATTATTTGTTGATCACGAAATCAAGTAATTTATTGATCACAAAATCAAGTAATTGGTCATATATTATTTATTGATTACAAATGAACCACTTTATTGGTCACAATTAACAAAATAATTGGTCAAAAACACCCCTACCCCACCCTACTGCCATCATATCACAAATGCCATAACCACCATCACCACCACCACGACCGACGCCGCCAAATCCACCACCACCACTCAAGCACCTCCACCAGTACTATCAGCAAAAACCACTCCAAATCCCCAACAACACCAAAATATGGAAACGACCACCACCATCTTCACAACATAAACCTCATTGCCACTAACATCATGGCCTGCACCAATTATTTGTACCACCACCGCCGCCGCAACCATCGCACCAACAGCCGGCCAAAGGGTCTCCTTATAGCCAAGGTCCCTTGTTTCACTTCGTCAACGTCACCTCCAACTATAATGAATTATCGAACTGCACCATAGAGCCCCTACCAAACTGTCGACGCTCACATCGCCAACAACAAAATCAAAGCGCAAACCGGATCTAACATTACCACCACCTTACGATCGCAGTCATGACTGTAGCGCGAAATATGCAACAACGTCATTTACAACAGTGATTGCAGCTGCAATGATCGTTGTTGCAGTGTCATCGTCGTTGCTGCGCGTGATCCTGTGTGTGCGACGTCACAATGCCACTCATGACGTATTTTGACGGTCACTCTTTAGCTTTGAAGGCATTTTTTGACGATTTTGTCAAGGAAGAAAATAGTAGAGAGAGAAGAGAATGAGGTTAGTGAAAGATTGGAAAGAATATGATTTGAAGTGAAATTTGGTGTGGTAGCGTAGGCTTGGGATGAATAGGGAGATTAATTTGAATTTATAATACTACTATTACTAAAAATTTGAATTAATGCCTGGATTTTGAATAAAAAACTTCGAAACAAGATTTTTGAATTGAAAAGTTAAAAAATCCGTGAGGGTGTAATTTTCACTTTTATACTTATAGGTTTATCTAGAGTTAATTGTCCAAATGGACACTGAATTTACAATTGATTTTTTGATTGCTCACTAAAATTTGAGATGTTGAGTTTTGATCAATAAACTTATTCAAATGTTAGACGTTACTCACTGACATTACATCTGTTTCAAACCTTTAATGAATTAAACATTGCTAATGAAATGCACATGTTACGCATCGTCACGCTGTTAATAAATTGTCACGTCTTTTTATTATTCGCTAAACTTTTAAAACAGTCTTCGATTGTTCATTGAACTTTGAGGTGGTCGAATTTTGACTACCAAAAATTTAAAGCATTTTTCGTTGCTCGCTAAACATTGGAAATACTTTTGATTGCTCATTGAACTTCAATGTGGTTGGCCACTAAACTTATAAAAATGACATTAGGCTTCATTAAAAAATGTGTATCCAAGTGCAATTGTAATGTAAAAGTAATAAAGTGGACTAACAAGTCCAAATTGTCAATCCCATGAGAATTGATTGGCCAATTAAAATAAAATTTGAATTTTACAACGAAAAACACAATAAATTTATTGCAAAATTAATAGTTTAATTTAATTTAGACAACGAAACACACAAGAAATTTGAATTTTTCAAATGAGGAAAATGACTTATTATCATAAAAAATATTAACATTAAATTTAATTATTGTATAATTGAGTAACCATTTCTTGTGGGTTCAACAATCTGGACTTGTTTGTCAACTTTAGTACTTTTATGCGACCTGTACATTTGCGTTACATATTTATTAACAAACAACATGCCTACGTTATTTTATAAGTTTATTAACCAAAGTTCGATCATTTAAAAGTTCAGTAAACAATCAAAGACGTTTTCAAAGTTTGGTGAGCAACAAAAGATGCTTTAAATTTTCAATGGTCAAAATTTGACCGTCTTAAAGTTCAATGAGCAATCGAAGATGTTTTTCAAAATTTAATGAGCAATTGAATATGTGACAATTTGTGAATTGCGTGATGGGACGCCACATGTGCATTCCGTTAGTCACGTCACTAAATCGATTTGAAATGGCTGTTATGTCGGTAAGTAATGTTTTGATAAATTTTGTGGCTAAAACTTGACGTCATAAACTTCAATGAATAATTGAATACAGATGCAAGTTCAGTAAACATTGAGACAATTAACTCATGTATCTGAAATGGAAATTGAAACTTCTGTTTGGTCCTCAATTCTAAAAATGCATTTTTTCACACATTTCATTGAATCTACAATTTTAATCAATTATTCAGTAACACATTTTATCAACTATTTAAAGGGTTAGAACTCAGGTCACAGACTGTTCAACTCATCTTGGCACCTCTAACTTCTACTCTGATTTGAATTTTGTCACACAGCTCGTGCTAAATCTTGATTAGCACATATGAATAACACAAAACTTGTATTAATCTCACGGTAAGAATTCCAAAATAGTCCTAAGATAAATGAGGATTTATAATCCAAGATCCAAGAGAATTGCATTTTCAAATACAATCTTCAGCAAGTACCAAAAGAATTAATTGTTACATAATCGATGATGTCCAAATCAATAATCATCCTAAACTAGACCTCGTTACTTCGTACGCCAAGAAGCACGCTGCGTTTGCTGGAATGCTTCGGGCCATTGCAGGCCCGAAACCCTTGTAAAGGCCTTTGACTCCTTCAGATGCCAAGATCTTCCTAAATGCATCAATAGAGCCCGAGAACTTAGGATTATTGTAATCATCAACCTGAATTACACTCTTGACCACATCGGTCGGGTAAACAGAAAGCCAGAACGCAGCTCCAGCCAATCCTCCGGATAACATTAGTGAACCTCGTCCCAATTCAGAAGTGTCCCGTCCTCCAGCAAGATAGGTTTTAAGGGCTTCATATACACCAAACATGGCAGCATTTCCCGGTACTTCACGTGCTAAGGTGGGAACCAATCCCTTGAACAAACCCCGCGCACCTGCTGTTTGAAGAACGTGCCTAGCCACGTCCATTGGTCCACCATACTTAACAGCAACGGCAGCTGAATCAGCACTTGCCAATGCACTCTGAGCTTGCAATCTGCATTTGTATAATAATTCTGAATTTTAATAGGTAATATACTAAATTCGCCCCAAAATAATACTACTACACTACAAATTCGGAGTCCGATGTTTAAATTAGAATATATCCATATACATATGGAAAAACAGAGCAAAAATTCATCCCACTGCGAGCAACATACTGGCTCCTACACAATTTTGAACCTAGCCCATGGTTCGGGTGATGCAATGCACGAGGTAAAGAACAGTAAATATAGAAATTATTTTGATCTCATTACGCTCTAGACAAAGAATTCAGCAAAAACTGACCTGCATTTTAGCAATTCGGTAGGACAGGCCAGAAAAGACACAGCAACCCCAGCTCCAGCGCCGCAAACGACTTGCTGATTCACTGTAAGAGGAGCACCGGGTTCAGACCTCAATAATGTCTCCATTTGACCCCGAACTGTGAATAGCACTGCATTGAAGGCAGCTACAGTGGCAAGCGGGGCCCCCATGCCTTTATACAAACCCCTCGGGCCTTCTGCAGCTATTGTTTGCTTCACAGCATCGATAGCACCCGAGTATTTGGGAGGCTGGCCAGGAAGTGGAACGGGCTGGCTTTGGAGTTTGACCTTGATGGTATCGAAAGGGTGCCCAACTATCAACTGTGCTGCCCCTCCAACAGTCCCAGCAGTTAGATCTTTAGCCACATCACCCATCTGAAAATTTTTAGTTGTAAGGTAATTACGAAAAGTTCAAAAATTACTCAGCATACTCAGATTTTGACTTGTTTTAAGGGTGGCCCTTCAAGAAATTGTGGGAGAGAAAAAGGCAAAAGAAAAAAAAAATTTGCCCCTAAGTGAAGAAAGTGACTAGTCCTTAAAATTCTAATGTTTAGAACACAAAATGTAGATAGCGAACAAGATATATTGTAATACATAAGATCTTAAAATTCGTGGTAGACTGAAACAAACAAGAAATGAAAACTCCCTCCTATGAGTCAGCAGCTAAGTTGATTGCTAATTTTAGCGATGTGATCGATTAAATTACCATAATAGGTGGATTATCTTAGTTTTAATTTTTAGCCACTTTGTTAGTCAACCAACCTCTAGAAATCTAAATGGATTGAATTAACCATTATGAATTCAACCATAGGAAAATCCAATTAGGGGGTAAAATGTCAACAAATGACAGCTTACAGTAATGCCTAATGTACAATACTGACTAGGGAGATCTCTGAAACTTCAGAAAAACGAACTCTAATATATTGGATTAGAGAAAAGATTGATGTAACAGAAAACTCGAGCTACAACAACATTTGGCCGCTTCCTCCATTGGGAGCCGGGAAAAGCTCGCCCTTGGCATTTGTTTAAACTGGTTATATTGACCAGGGTGGTCACGGTAGCTTCATAAACTAAAACTAAATTGTACGAAGCTCTAGGAGAGATTAGAGTAATTTATCCTGATTTCAAAATTAGACAGATTAGCTCTTCTAAAACGATCATAGATTTACACTCAAATGTAACATAAACCAAATTATACCTACTACTACCCAACCCTTCCTTGAATAATCACTTCGCTTATTTATATTAATCTTTCAAACTCAGAGAGTATTCTATCAGTTGAGAAATTGGTAAGAAGAAACAAAAATGCAAAAATGATCTGTCAATTTGTCTCATTTCAAGGAAGCCTATGAGAGGTATAGAATAACAAAATGATGATGCGGCGCTATCAGAATAAATAAGATATAAAATGCCACGTTGTCACAAACACATCATTGGCAAAAATTTATTGGAGACATAATTTTGTATTGTTAGTCAAAAGGGGAAAACATCAATTAATGAAAAGAGGTGTGAATTATAATGAATAATACCAAGGTGTGAATTACAAAGCATCAATTTTGTATTGTTAGTAGATATGAATTGCCAAGATGAAAGGAAGCAAGTTGTAAAACTCAATCATTAGAAAACACTTTCAAAGACAGGCAATCAATTTTAATAGAGTGCACGGAAACAATTGCAGGAGAACACAGGAACCACTTCTATGCAAGATCTCGATCTCAGTCTCCATAAACCAATTAGCCCTTCAAACACAGGGAACCACTTCTGCGCATGATTCACGGAAGCAGCAGTTTTTCATACACCAATTTTTCTTCAATAGATTTACAAAAAATTTCAGACTTCAAAAATTTTTACAAGATCCTACTTCTATAAACTCAGTTGAAACGGGCATATCCATTTATTGCAGAAAAGAGGAATATCAGAACAACTAATCCACATAGATTTACAATCCCAATGGTGATGTGTAAATACAAGACACGAGATAATCATCCATTTCCATGGAAACCATCGAAAAGAATGAAAACTAAGAAACTTACCTTGGTCGGTTCCCTTTAATTCCAAAAGAGAATCTCAGAGAACGAACAAGCAAACAGATCAAACCTCTAGTTCTAAAATTCCAATCGATGCAATCTGAGATTAACACCACAAAAAAACACTATCAAAAACTTAATATATATTTGCAATAATACATCTATATACACAAACGAAAATCACAATTTGTAATAAGAAAAAGAAATACCAAATGGTTATTAATAACTTTCCATTCTAAGCACATTAAAAAATCTCGAATATTATTAGCTGCCTAAAATCATGGAGTAGGAAAGTGGGCTGTATTTTTTTCAGTTGTAGAAATCAGTGCTGTGTGCAATAAAAAATAGTTGAATCTATCTCTGGGGCCGGTCACAGCCACAAGAGTGAAATTTAAAACACGACAAAACCCAAAAAATTGTTTCTGAAGGATTAAATTCAAACCATTGACGGGTGGGTGAGGGAGTTGCGGACAAGATTCTCAAGGAAATTTCAACCTCCTCTTTTAAAGATAAAATGGGAGGGGAGGGAACAAAGTTAGTGGATGATAAACACCTAATCACCCACCAAATACATTGTGATTAGGTCCAATTTATTTTGAGTAATTTTTACACATTTAAGGAATTGCATAATGTGTTATATTGAGCCTCTCTTGGAAGTTAATAAATTTGTTGAAGCTCAAATATTAATTTTAATTACAAATTTATAATTAGGAATATGGTAATTAGCACAAAACGTCCTTACCTTTTAAAATTAATGTGCAAAACGTCTCTATCTTTTATTTTTTGACATTTTTACCCTTATCTTCACCTTTTATTGTGGAAACCATCCTTAGGAATATTTTAATCATATCATGTCCTATCCTTTCACAGCCTTGTTGCCATTCCCGTAAATTGAAAATATTAAGAGTGCGTAATGAAATTTGAGATATTTTCAATGGATTCGTAGGGCAACATTGATATTGATGTTCAATTCAAATATTTAAATCGTTGGTTAAATGATAAAATTGAAAAATAAATAAATAAATAAATAATTGTGAGAAATCTCAAACAACGTTATTTTAGGAGCTTGTTGACAGATGCCCCATTCACAGTGTGCAAATGGAAAGATGTCCAAAAAATAAAATAATAATAATAATAATAAAACAAACAAAAACAAAAGGCTTTATTGGGACATCAGATTGATTGGGCTTCTTGATCCATTTTCAAATTCCTTTTATCCATTGATCTTACTTCGTTTCTGAGATTATATTCTCTATTGACCTATTAATAATCTTGTTCTTTTTCTTTTTCTTTATCCATCAACTCATGACATTATTCTTAAAGTTCCTTGTTCTGAAGGCATGTTTTTAAAGTTGTTTTTTTCTTTTAAATCAAATGAATCTAGACTTTTATTCATAAAGGTACTTTTTTATTGAATGATTCTCATCCTTTTGTCTATCATGTTTGGGATTATTTTTAGGTTTATTGTCATCTATATTGTACTACAAAATATTCAAAGTAGAATTGTTGACTAGCACTCTTTGTCCATTCATCAACTAGTAAATATCTACGTCAAATTAATAGATATTTTCATCAACAGATAATTTAATCATCATAATACCTGATAAATGTATTTTACACACTTATTTAAGCCTCAAAACATGGATAAATGTTAGTAATTATGTTGGAGTATGGTTACATTTTGTATAAATTATGTTTTTTAAGACAACATTGATGAATGTGGTGAAAATTAGGAGAAACAAGTGAAAAAAGACCAAAATGGAAGAAAACTAAAGTTCAAGAACTAAAGTGCAAATAGTCAAAAGATAACCCGAAAGCATAAACGATGATGTAAAAGAATCAATGACAAATTTAGTGAAAACGTGAAGTATTGGAAGAAGAAGAAATGAAAAAAAAGAGGTCAAGAAGCAAGAAAACAGAGTTCGAAAACCAAAATGCAAAGATTGAATTTTTATTTGAACTATACTATAGCATAGCTATTTATTCAATGCGATCGCATAGGTATTTTCAGCAAGTTTCAAGGCCAAATTCCATTTATTTAAGCATAGCATTGATTTGTACTATGATATAGCATAGTTCATTTCTAGCGTGAAAATTTTGGTTTCCTCAATTGATTAAAACTCTTATGGTTGAGACGTTTTTAAAATTCTAGGGCTATCCCTAAGCATTGACGGCCCATTTTAATAGAATTCTAAGGACTTTGAGAACATAGGAGGAGGCAAGAACGCGAAGAACAACCCGAAGACGTGAAGATTCAAATCAATAATTAATTGGGTGACGTCGTTTCTTCAAAAAAAAAATAAAAATTGTTTTCTTATTTTCACCATGTTAGGCTAGATTTATATATGCTAGAAGAATGATGAACCTTGTGATATGGATTTTTGATCTTTGGTTTTATATTATTGACATTAAAAACACGTTTTAAAGTATTGAATGATTTATATGAAATCATTTTCTTCATGATTATTATGCATGGTAATTGTGTGAGTGTGGTTGCTCATTTTATGCATTTGAAAGAAATAAAATAGGCTCGACACAGTATAAATCAGTCATAGGGGCCTATAAAAGATAAAAATACACCGCTATACACTGTGTGAATCTTTAAGTGATCATAAAAATTCATACATTCTTATATGTTTGCATCCATTATATAGATATAGTCAGTTCATATATGAGAATATGTTTAACATTGCTCCAGAGAGATTGTTAAATATAATAGGAATATTGATTCTTCAATATTCAATCTTGTCGTCAAAGTGCAAAACTAATGTTAAAAATTATTATTGAATAGGAATTCGCAATCCTAGTATGTTCGTCGTTCATTAGAACTTATCAAATTGCATTTAGAGTAATTTTGCATTTAACTTAGTTAATTCACTCATAATTGCATAAGTAGACCATTTCAGCTATAATTTTGTCATAAGCAAACACTCCTATTATTCTTGTTTAGGTTAAAGTCGTGGTAATTAAAATTGAACTACATCAATCCTTCTGATCGGACTCAAAATCCACTTATTACCTGTTAACTAACCATACACTTGCGGTGGTTTTAAATCGAAAGATGATTTCGTGAACAATACCAAGGGTTGCAAGCTCATTTTCTTGGTACGATGATCTTGGTGTCCAGCGGTCCCGAATTTGCAAATAACATATGGGCAGGCATAGACGTGATCTGAGTTCTAATCATATGATTTTTGAAGTCAAAAGAAGCTTGGTGGGATAAATATTCATTCATCACTTCCAACAAATGATATATTGGTGGAAAGTGATATTCTTTACACAAAACATTATGGTAGAGCGTAGTTTTAACATATTATTCAACTTTGTGGTCAGGGTTGGAAGAAACATCACGTGACACACGTATATTTTTAGAGCCTCTACGAAGCTATAGTCTTAAATTTTCTAAACTATTTACGTTTATATTTATAAGTAATTGCTATATATTTTGATCGAATAATAAGGTCTTGTGATTTGGATTGTATTTGAATTAATATTTTTGTAGGTAAATACTACTTGGTGACGTGAGCTATTCGAATATGAAAGGTTATTTAGCACTATATAAAGGAGAAAGATATAAACTTTCATGATTTTAGACGTGGTAGTTAACCTATAGGCTAAATATATTTAATTATGCAATTTTTCAATATGAAGTGTTATTAAACGTTGTTTTGGCGGTATGAAAGGCACAATACAGAATATTTCAATATATACCAAATTATGATTTTGATAAGCAAATAGCTATTGTCGTGGTTTCAATAACACTTCATTACTTTATAAGAAGGGAAGCTATAATTGATTTGAAATTTCGTAAATAAGATCATGAAGAAGATTATGAAGACTTAAATATAAATTCAACAATTAAGAGTGTGAAATGAGATTTGTTTGTAATAAAATTGCTAGAGATTCTTATGGTTTCTAATCTAATTATGTTTTATTTTTATTGTTGTTTTGCCGGTGCAAGTAGTTTTGTTTAAAACTTAGCAGAAAAAAAATAAAAAAATTATTACCATGCCATTGTTTGACCCCCATTTAAGGAGGAAAAAAAAACATATTTTTGAATAGTGATTTTTTAGAGAATACATGGTTAAAAGGTAAGGAAAAATTTTTGATTTAGTTATAAAAAAATTTTATTGGAGAATGTGTGGTTGAAAAATAAGTTTTGAAAAAAATGAGTTTTTGGAAAAATGAGGTTCCAACAAGGGCTATATTTTACTATAATAATTTTAATATGATAATAAAACTAATTCGTTTTTACCAATAAAGGTAAATTTGATATCGTTCTTACTATAACAGCTTCTCGTACAATCATACCAAATTCGTTTTCAAATATTAATTCAAAAACTCTAGCTTTTGCTTTTCTCAGGGCCAATCTAGCATGACTTCTATTTCTTATTCCAGAAGTGCTCTTAAAGGAAATTACATTAGATTAACTTCCTCTAAAAACTCTTTTACCTACAATAAGTATTTTCATAAACTTAGCCAAACCATCCTTATTCTATTACTCAAAAACTCATTTTAACGTTTTAAAAGTCTTGTCAAACGGATCCTTATTCTATTACTCAAAAGCATAAGCTATCCCAAACGAAGTGTGTTTGGAAGTACTTTTCCAAAATCTAAAAGCACATCTTGGAGGTCAAAAGCTCTTTTATTTAAAACTACTGATTGTTTGGCTAATGTCAAAATAAGATCCAATCGAAGTTTTACGGGAAGCTTAATTGACATTTAAAAAAATCATTTAATAAAACTTTAAATTTAACAAAATAACATTAGTATATATTACCAAACAATCAATTTAATATTTTGAGCACTTCTGAATTCACAACCGAACGGTTAACAATCTTTTAGTAAAAGCTATATTGTCAAAAACTCTGTCGCCAAAAAGTTCTGCTGCTGAAATTTCTTAGCTGTACCATCCACTTATTTTGACATGCCAAATTTGAATCGTAGAAGTGAATAAGTCAACTTTTAAGCTTGGCCAAAGATGACCTTATTTTGAAAGCAAAATGATACATATACTAACGTATTTTGAAGTATTTACACATTTAACTTATTTTTAAGCTTTAACCAAACGTGTTCAAATAATTTTCTTTTCTTGCAATTACTGAATAGAATATTGAAAACATCAGATGAAATAAAAGGAGAAATGTTGAATTTTCTTTGCTTTCTTTATAAATGATATAAAAAAACTGGTTTTCAACAATCAAATTATTTCCACATAACTATTTTCGTTAATTAGTGATTAACCTAATAATCATTCAGTTCCTCCCTTCCATGTATATACATTATGAATATGAATTTTCAGCTTGTTTCTGTATCATCATTTTCTTCTTCTTCTTCTTCTTCTACCTGCAGGCTTTGGTTCATCATGAATCTCCAGCTATCTCCTTCTTCAATATCCCATTGCTTCTTCAATTCACATAGAGTTTTTGAAGCAGCAGCAGCAATTGCAGGGTTGCTATCTTCTGCCAGTCTCTGCAGTGTAGTTTACACTTTTATGATGGTTTGAAGGACGGAAAATAAATCCGATATGGCCAAAAGGGACTTTGAGAATTTTTTTAACTACCTGCAAAGCTCCCATGCCAGCATTTCCGAGAGTCCACATGGATGGTGCAACTGATAAAGCGTTAGCTAATGCTCTCCTGCAAACAGGAGATTAGTGAAGAGAAAAACTTGGCAAATTTAAAAATTTTAATTGTCAGGGTGATGTTAGCATTAAGCCATAACTCTCATCAGAGAGCAATATTAACACGAGACAGCGAACCCACAAATTTATAGTGGTTCATCGAGTGGGAGAGCTAGCCAGAATTTTCACTACGAAGAAGAAAGAGGATTACAACTCTGATTTCATGTATCTTATAAGTCTAGAACACTTTAAAAAGGGGCCCTGTAAATAATCCTTCATTTGTAGGGATATTAGGACGAGCTAACATGTATAAAATGTCTTAGCATATCCCAGACTAAAAGTACAACTAATTAGGTCTATACCCGGTCATTAGTGCATAGTGTTGTTAAGTTCCACACAGTTCAATAGGTGAGAACTTGACTTTAATTTCAAATTAAAAAGACTACATTCCAAATTTTCTATAACTTCTCCAAGCATAGAGTCAGGATGCACGGTTCTCCCATCCATGCAGAAAAAAGTGCGAGAAAGCCTCTTTTACATTTTGTTTAATCCAGTTAAAGCAATAAATATTTATTCAGCAAACAAAAGTAAGTAAGAACAGCTCACATGGCAGAAAAAACTATTACTTTCCAAAAGATACTGTATATGCGTACATAGTGCATTACATCGTTTATTAGAGGTAAATCTGATTAGTATTGAATGTTATCTCATATCTAATTGTAATTATCATGGATCACCGTATTAGTGGGTATAAGATGAAGGTCGACAAGTTTAAGGTGGTTTGCTATTATATAATGTTGGTTCTACCCCATGTTAGACCAATGTCAGAGTTGTACTAAGCTATTCACTAGCTCTATCACACTCTCCATTTGTCCATAAATAATATCCTCACACCCAGTGGATTTCCCAAATACAAGCTAAATAGGCTAGCACGTTTGGGAGCAACTTATTGACTTTCTTATAAGCCCTCGAAGTATGGGACCCTTATTTTCTGCGGGTCATAAAATGCCATAAGTTGGGGCTCTCCTACTTATGTTATCTTTTAAGCCACGAAGAGTCGGTCCCATTTTTTGTGGGTTTATAAGAAAAAAGAACAAGTTTCTCCCAAACATGCTCTAAGTCAAAGCCATCCAAATGGTTTACTGAGACTTTTCTGTGAATCTCTCTCCGGTACTCTATATCCATCAACTCCTTTTAGAGACAAAAACAAACAGCAAATCGCCCCTGATCCAGAATTCGTCTGGGGGTAGAGATGCTTAATCCACCCTTAACTCTTGCTCCCCTTATGGATAAAGTTATCTGGTTGTGTCCAGATAATAGAAGTTATCCGGATTATTTCAATTTTGATATCAAACATTGAATTATTTTAAAACCATCCATATCCAGTCTAACATGGTTTGACAAACGCACGCTTATTCTTCTCCAGTGTACAGTGGTTTAGGCAATCTATGGTTATCTATCTCAATTATCATGCTTGTGCCCTGACCTATCCTCCTGCGAATAACTACTCGATTTGTTGATTATTACTGATTTCTCAATCTCGAAGCATCATAATAAATGCACTGCAGATTACTGATTGTTGATTCAATGATTTAGCCCTTTAGAGAGTAAGGTGTATCAGTTAGTTAATGAAAAATGCACCTCTATAACAATATCTAGTCAAGACAAATAAGAAATTGAAAGAACTCAAAGAGGCAGAGGTGACTCCTAGGTGATAATACAAGATTGAGAAAGAAAGACGAAACAAAATGGAATTGGTTAGAGATACATGAATGAGCATAGAGAGAGCTATAACATCCATTTGGGTTTTGGGTTATGAAATGTAATATAGAAAATTGTAGCGAGTCAATTGATTTTTTTTGGGTCATGGATACTAGTTAAGGCAATGACAGATGATCAAGAAAATTAATTATAAGCCAATCAACACAAAGGCATGGAAACATACAAAATATCAACAGTTAATATTATAAAACGGAGATTAGATCAGGTGTTATGCGAAGAGTAGTAGTAGAAAATTTTAAAGTTCACCCACAAACAACAAATAGTAGGGAGAAATCAATTAGATTGAATTTCTATTATTGCAATAAGAGAGTAGTATTTTACCTGGTATTAACATCAGGAGAACTTGAACATTCCGCCAATAGAGATACACTGCTTTTGCTGTCCATAGCATCAAGATCAATGAGAGTTGCAACCAACAACTCCAGCTGTTCCAAACAGAAAATAGTAAGTATAAGCAGCCTAAAATTCCAACAGACATGAAAAGACTTAGTGTGCACTCATTTGGCTTGGACCTCTTCAGGATCAGTATAGTCAATTCCATCAGCTTCTGAAAGTGCAGAAGCCATGCTCCAATAATCTTCCTGTATTAACCAACATAAAAAATATTTAAGTGAAGTATTTAATCCACGAATATATCCGTTAGCTCAACAACTCGTAAGAGAAACCTGCATGGCATTAATACGATCAGCAGACACCTCTATGAAGTCGAGGGTTTTCCCATTCTTTTCCAGCGTTATACGTCCAGTCGTCTCACTAGCATTTGTAGAACTGTTCTTCCTGTACAGAGAACCGAATACCAGTAAATAACATGAAGGCCAGATTTACTTTTATATCCATTATGACTGGGAAAATATAGTATTATGGAAACTTACAATCTGTACATCTTTCTCACCATCCTATCATGTATGTTTTTGACAAGCTGCAAATCCAGAAAACAAAAGTATGGACTCTCTAGGAGGTTAGGAAAAGTGTGTGCGGCAGTTTTGCTTCTACTGAATAATGCAGAAATATAAGTGTTGTCCGATGATAATACCTCCAAAGCCATGAAGGCATCTTCCATCGCACGTTGCTTGGCAGCAAAATCTGCCCGCCTCAAATCAGCCTGAATATGAGCAAGAGAGGTTGGTCTTAAGTGCGTTTGGTTCACACAATACAAAAAGTCACAAACACAAGGAAATGCCCCAACATCCACTATTCAGTTAAGAAAGGAGAGGGAAATCACAAGTGATAATAGATCTAAATAAACAGTGATTAAGCACAAAAAACTTGCATTCAATTTATCAAATACACAATAAATGTCAGATGTCAGCATTGAAAATGACCAAGGAAGCAAATCAAGAAACCAAGCTAATTATTCCTGCACATGATGAAGCATTAATCAAGTGCAAATCATGGTAAGCTTCGAAGAGTGTAGAATTTTCCTTTATCAAAACTGGTGCCGTCTTTAGAAAACTTAGAAGAGTGATAAAATTTTATGATGTATAATAAATCTCAAATAGATAATTACTGAATCTCCTTCATTAAAAGACATTCTTATTACCGCGCTAATTAAATGTAGAAAAAGGAAAAGGGATTTGACACAGTTTATAGAAACATATTGAATAAAAACAACCAAAGAAAGAAACTTTCTAATTTAAAACTTGGATTAAATAGAAAAGCAGATAATGCTATTAATTAAGTAAAGTTATGCATGAAGATGGTAGCAATTACGAAAAGGTACCTCTAAGGCACCATCGCTCCAGTGTTTGTCAGCAGCATATTTCAATCTAGATTGAGCTTTGTTTTTAAGAATCTGACAAGAAACCAAGATTAATTAGTACATCATCATGACAAGACCATTTCCATATGATTTTTCAAGGTTTTATTAACAGTTCTTGGAAGAAGAATACTTACAATGGCAATGTGATGAAGCATTTCAGCTCTTCTCTTCACATCGTGATCAATTTTCTCGGTGCCTTCTCTAGCTCGTGCTACCAAAGAAGAAGTTAATAATCTAGATGACGAATCATAATCAAGTAAATCATTTGTTTAATCTTTTCCCATCTCCACCGCTCACTAACAAATTTTCAGTTCTTGTTGCGTATGAAGTTACATTTTTCATGTAGAAAATACTTTTTAATTTTTTCTTGTAGACTAGGAAATATTATGTTGGCTAAATTTTGATTGTATGGACTAATTTCATTTGCTACAATGCAAGAGATAGCAATAACTGAATATTCCAAACTAAATTAGCCATTATGTCATTTGCTTCAAAATAAAATGCAGGATAATTTGGTTGCAGCAAGTCCTAGGCTCCTAGCAGTCAGGAAACTTAAATTACAGCATAGCATATTTCACGATCATTTAATGAAGTTTCAAGATAGTATAGCCACAAAAAATTTACCATCAAGCTTAAGGAACTCTGAACCGAGAAAAGCAACATCTTGACGTGCACGAGCATCCAACCTCATTATGCTCCTATGTGAAATGGTAAATCATTAGCATGTATTCCACGTGAATGGTTATTTTTCTAATTATTGTCTTGGTATATATTAAATGAATTGTTGAACTAGTTGATCTAAAGCTTAATCTATTAAAGAGAATCACTTGTATATTATTTAAATTTGTCTCCACCTAAGGATGGTAATAGGTTTGTTAGCCGTGGGTAGTTTATGTACTGGTTTTGGGTGCTTGGGGTGCTGGGTGGTGGTGAAATTCTTTAGGGTTTAGGGCATGGCGGGATAGGGGCGGCCATTACCATCCTACTATGTCGGGGATTCTCGGGAGATGAAGCGAAGATTTAAACATCCCCATTTACCGTCCCATTTAATAAATTATTCATTTTAATATTTTTAAATAATGTTTAAATTGAAAAAGATAAAAATAATATAAAAAAAAAAAAAAAGGATTCAGGGCAGGTTTGGCGATTTCTGGAAAGGTAATGTGGGGATTTTTCCATCCTATCTCCAAAACACACCTCACGCCTCACATGTACTGGGGGTTCATTTTTCCCAAGCTTAAAGCAGTAGCAACAAGATCTCCCGAGGACCATTGCATTGATCCAAAGGTTTAAGGTATTATCATTTAAATATTTCTTTCGTATTGCTTAAGCACAATTTCAACAAAAATGGAAAAAAGTAATCAAATTAGAAACAAAAGGAACCAAAATAAAATCCAACATGACAGTTCACGTTTTTCCCACTTCTGTGATGTTATTTGAATAAAAACAAGAGAGTTCAATTGGACACACTACTCACTGGGAGAGCAATACAATGTCATTCCTAGCCCTTTCATTAACAAATTTTGCATCCTCACAAACAAATTTACATGCGTCAGCTAATCCCTGGCTTAAAGTAACATTCTTTCCTGTCTCAATGAGATCCCCATCTCCAGCTTGAGCACTGATGCATAAAAGAATATAAGCTTCAAAATCAACTAAATGTTAAACCTGATCTATGCAAAAACTTAGGAAAAATAAATAACATTTTGGTGGCAAACAGGTGTTGCACTTAAGGTCTCAATGCTTCTTAAGCAAGCAATAGAAACCATGGAAATCTACCTGTATCATAATATAAGTGGCATATGTAAATGATATAATTAAACATAAAACTAGCCAAATAAGATGATGAGATGAATCCATGCTGCTGTCAACCTGAATGAATTATGAATTAGGAATTCACTCCAAGAGATAAAATAAAAAGGAGTAAAGTGAGGTTTTAAATGTGATTTTCTATGTGTGCATATATGTAAGCGTGCAAACACCAAACAGTACATCCCCTGCCTAACAGCATCCCCTACTAAATCTCAGACACTTAGTTAAGACAAACCAATAAAATGTTTACCATAATTGAAGTTCGGAACATGTCATATTTAGATAATAAAAAGTTAAGCCTGTCTATAAAGCTTAACCTTTTTACTCCATTTACATGCCTTTGAGCCCTTGAAGATCAATTAGTAATTTTAGAGTAGAAAAAGAATATGGTGATCCTGAGATTTGTCTTTTTGGCTGATTTGACGAACATAAATGTCATGTACTACTGGATTATACAAATGAACCGGAACGTTCTGCAACACATACAAAATTATTTGGAATGGGACATATGTGTGAAAAGAAATTTATATTTTTCATTTACTGGTACCAAACTAACACTAGTCTAACATGACACAAGTCCATCCAACCTATCAAGATTGAGAACAACAAAATCAATCTGAAAAATCATTAGTAGGAATGGTCGTCTGAGATTTAACAGCTAAAATGCTATTAATTCTTTAATTATTTCATTTATTGCATAGTCATGTACGTGATCAACAAGAATTCATCAAATGCTTTTTTATATTAGAGCTCCTCTACCTGGATATGCTTGAATAATCATCATAGTGTCTCTCACACTCTCTTGTTTCTGTATTGCGTGTTTCTGTTGATTGACATAACAAAGAAGATCCATGGGATCCAATCAAAGTCTTTAGTCTTCCACCAAAATGCCAGAATCCGTTACTAGATAACTTCGTTTTCAACAAGGAGAGACGTCCATTGCTTTGTTTTGCATTTAACTTAGGATGCTGTGGTGACTTGACAGAAGAATGAATAAACCCATTTGGCTTAGCCATAGTGTTCTGATTTTTTATGGAAGCTCTAGTTTCAATGTGGCTTTTGTAAGTGATGCAAAAAGAATTATTACCGAAATCAAATTACCCAAGCTAGCATTTTCCTGCAAAACTTTGAGACCTTAAAATTGCAAAGAATAGTATGAGGCGAATACAAGAATAATATTTCATGCGTTAGGTCCTACACGGATTTAATATGGACAGAAGATTAATGATGTTATACTAAATATGGTGAATCACAATATCATGCCATTGATATTGAAGCTGAAACAGGCATTGTTGATGCTGTTTTAGTACTACCTTTCTATTAATAAAGATAAACATGCTGGTATTAATAAGACCACTCATGAGTATAACTTCAACAAATTTTGAGGTCAAATGGTAATACAATGTACAGTGCTTCTTAGACAATTTTGGTGCAAGGAATTCCTCATACTTGCAGAAGGATTGCTCACAAAGCACCAACAGTCTACCCGGCAATATATGTTTTACTCTCCTTTCGGTTCAAAAGTGTTTGTTCTTAAAGCACCAAAAGAGGCCAATCTCCAATAACTACGTATATTTTCTATTATCTTACATTTATACTTTACAATCTTAAAACCATTCTCTCAAATCGAGCCCAAAGGAACCTCAAGTTTATCTATACAGAAATAAGATTTTAGGCTTATCATCACGGTGAGACACTTCAGCAACATGTCCAATTTGCCGGTATTTACCCTATCAACGCCTGTTGGTGCTAAAACATGAAAAAATAAAACTTCAAATATTGATCAGCATTTACAATTGTCTATCATACTTCCATAATCATTGCATAATTTGAAATCACTACGCAAACACTTTAACCTGTATGTGAATTCATTGTATATACCCAACTCAATATAGTGTCAGCACTGATTCTCATTGATTCCTTACCGAATTTATCCTTCCCACCCCATTAACTAGTTATTCTCAGGAATGAATAGGGCCAGATAAAGGGTGAAGTTCAAAACCGGTGCTAAATATCACATCAAAATTTTCTCTTCTTTACAGTTAAAAAAAAAAAAGGAAAAGGAAAAGGGAAAAAAAAACTTTTCCATTGGAAATTATTGCTATTTTTCCAAATTGAGCTTCCACGATCGCGTAACCTCTGCTTATTTGTACATCGTTAAAACTAATTCTGACGCAGTGACACCCTACCAGTAAAAATTGTCGTTGAAAATCTAAATACAATCACATTAAACTTCAAATAACACGACCAACTATTATAAACAAAACCCACAAACATTTGAAGAACAGATCACAAAATTAGAAAACCCACACATGAAATCAAGGCGTGGACAGTAAAAAAGGAAGCAGTTGAGGAAATGCATACCTCTTCGGAGATAGAGGGAGAAATGAGGGGGACGAGACGGAGAGAGAGAGAGTTTAGGAAAGCTGTCCGGTTAAGAGAAAGTAAATGAGAGAGTGAGTAAGCGGCCATGCAAAGATTGAAACAAATTTCAACCACAAGCATAATTTGTGGCCGCTCAGTTACCAACACTATCCGACGAGGAAGTCTAGTAAACGTTGCTACCAAGAATTAAGTAGAGAGAGATGGCTCAATGAATGAATTATTCTTGCTGTGGCCAAACAAGCACAAAAAACATCGATCTGGTTTAATCAATGGTCATCGAACTATGTTATAGGTTATTTTGACTCGCCGAAATTTAAAAAATTTACCCTCTACTAATTAAATTTTTCTATAGGTTACTATTTGCTAATCGAAATTTAAAAAGTTATTTATTGTTTATCCAAATTTGAATAAAGTTACCGATAAATCACCCATATCATTTCCATTAGTGTTACTTTTTGCAAAGTTTAGTGAGCAATGAGTGACATTTTAAATTTCGATGGGTAAACAGTAATCCATAGCAAAGTAAAGTGAGTAACAAGTAATTTTTTAAAAATCAGTAAGTAGTAACTTATAGTAAAGTTGAGTGACATTTTATTAAATTATCTCAAAAACTTCAATAGGAAGGGTCTTGCACGCAAACACGATAGGATTATTTATTTAAATTTTTAAACACTCAAATCACAGCATCTCGAATTCCGATTTACTAAGTTTTCTCAAGTTTGAGTGCTCAAATTAGAACAAAGGATAAATTTCTTCAACACGAGCGAAACGTTAGTTATGTTTTTTTAAACATTAATTTGTTTTAGTTAGGCCGTTGAACTTCAATGATTTCAAATTGGGTGACTATAAACTTTAATATGATTTTAAATTTTGCCACCTTATGATAATTAAATAATCGGCATTTATGTCACAATAAGGTGTCACATAGCGATTACATTCTTATAATAATTGTCAACCAAGTTATTTCCATGAATTTGAGCCCATATGCGTTGAAATGTGTTAGAAGGTGAAATTTGAAACTAAATTGAAGTTTAACGATCCAATCGAGATAAAATTAAAGTTTAACAAATCTTAAAACAAAGGATAAATTTCTTCAACGTGAGTGAAATTCAGGGCATGTTCAACAAATCTTAAATTGTTTTTTAAGTTGGACAAACTACTCTTTTTATCCATAGATTCACCATATCCACAATTATTCTTCACTTATTATTAGCATGTTCTATAAGACCTACATTTTATAAATACTTTGACATTTCGTAGAATCCATGGGCACTTGAAAGACCATCAAATAAGCACTTACCTTAAAAACAAAGTTGAATGACGTAAGAAAAATTGAACTGGGATGAGGTTGTTGTTGAAGGTGATTATTCTTCTAATTGGGCCAATAGAGCCCATGCATGTATATGTTGTTGGATCATGCACAGATGCTAAGGCCCAAATGAGTACAGGGTTTTATTACTTGTGGAAATTTTACCCAACCATATTTTTTAAGATCCAATTTCAAAAATAAGAATTAAAGTTTATAAAAAAATCAGATATTAATTCAAAAATTTAATACTAATAATTATATTACAAAGTTAAATTAATATACATATAAAACCACCCACACAAAACCATATTCATTTTCCATTTCCTCTCTCTCTCTCTCTCTCTCTCATCCTTTTATCCCAACCATCAAAATCTTTCACTGGAGACCACCACATATGTCATCGCTACAATGACGTGTCATCGCTTCAGTGCAACGTCGTCATTGCACTATCGACTTTAGACGCTACAACAGCGGTTGCTGTGCAATGCGCTCAACAATAATGCCGCTGTGAGTGGCTTGAGTGCCGCTACTACGGTGATATGGTGACAAATGTTGGGCCAGCACTGCCGTTGCTAGAGATTTGTTGGCTTTGTGAGTTTTGTGTTTGAAATGTTGGAGAGATGAAGAAGAAGCAAAAAGAAAGTCACAAGAAATATGGCAACGAGATGAACAAAATCAGAAAATTGTAACACCAAATGTCAAGACTCAAACGCGGGATCGTTGTCCTCAAATGTTATTTTCCCCCACTCCAGTGTTTATGAGATGTTTAAGGGTATTCTGGCAAATGGTTTGAAGGATTGTAACAAGTCTCGAAGAGAATTTCACCAAAGCACAAAGTGAAATTTTTCAAAACTTGAAGAATACGAAAATAAAATGAATACGAATGAAATTCGGGATTTGATTGTTTTTGGAGCAAAGTATGGATTGCAAGATATTTTTCTTACATCTTTCCCTTGAACATGGCTCTCCCATATATAGCCATCGACCAGAAGTACGAAATGATGCTAAAAAATCAAGTGAAAAGTCACCAATTTCAAATTTACAACGGCCAAATAATTGTACCATGCAAATCCATGCGGTCGCATGGTTCACACATGTCGAGACCATTTGGTCTTGGCATACAGCCATGCGACCGCATTGCTATATGCCATGCCGTCGCATAGCCCTTTTTTTAATTTATTGTTATTGGTTTTGAACAACCAAACTCACAGCAATCCCCCACTTGTTCAAAATTAACAAGGTCTCATATTCAAAGTATACGATACTAATGCATAAGGATTAGATATCTTTCGATTTGAATCTAATCATAGTGTAATTCAAACAAAGCAAAGTCGAAGTTAAAGGTAGCATGAAGCTTTGAACCGATTATTTCATGTGACAATACCGGTAAGAACACACGCACGAGTACCACGTGTTCTCAAGTTTCTCATAACTCGTTTAGCGCTATTAAGGCCTTGCGCTTATCCTATTTCAACAAATTTTTAAGAGATAAATTTCAACTCTCTATTAAGACGACAACACCTTGAAAATTGTTTAGGTGAAATTCTTTCAATACCTTTATTACTTTTAGAGATAGTTGTGTTTGGAACTGAACTTCATTAAGAGTTTAAAACTCAACCCTCATTTCAATAACAATCAGCATTATTTTAATTAGGATAAGATTATTACGAATTTTAATAATGGTGTAACTATCTATATAACGAATGACTTGTTGTTACCCTTTGAACCCGTAGATTATCTTTTGAGTAATTACAAGTAGGGTTGCTATCATTGGTAGACCTTTTCAATTAAGAAGTTTCAACCACATCTTACTCGAAGTAGATGCTACTAAATCTCTATTTAGAGGTTTAGTTAAAGAATCCGCTAAATTCTCAATCGACCTTACATAATTTAAGGAAATTATTCCATCTTTGATTAATTTCCTTATGTAGCCACGTCTAAAACTCATGTGTCTAGACTTTCCATTGTATAGTTCATTGTAAGCTTTTGCTAATGTGGCTGACTATCACACATGATATGTATTGAAAAAAATTCTTCGATCCCAAAGGCATCTCATAGAAGAGATCCTTAAGTTACTCAACCTCTTTCCCAATATCAGATAAGGCTACAAATTCTAATTTCCTGGTAGAGTGTGTTATACATGTTTGTTTTTTTGATTTCCAAAAAACAGTACTTTCTCCTAGAGTGAACGCCCAACCCGATGTGGATTTACTTTCACCCGTGCTAGATATCCAGCTAGTATCGGTAAATCCTTCCAATACTGTTAGGAACTTAGCATATTGAAGGCTTAAGTTCTTGGTTATCTTTATGTATCCAAGAACTCTCCTAATAGCCTTTCAATAATCATTACTTGGATTGTTAGTAAACCTACTAAGTTTACTTATTGCATAGGCTATATCCGGTCTTGTGCATTGAACTACATATAGAAGACTTCCATAGCACTAGCATTCTCCAATTGAGCAATCGCACTTCCACCATTTTTTACAAGTTTTAAACTTGGATAAATCGGGGTACTATATTCTTTTAAGTTCACACATTCTCAATGTAATGTGATTAACTTAAATAGTAACCCCCATTAGTCTTTGTGACTTTGATACTCAAAATGTTATCTACCTGTCCAACGTCCTTCATCTTAAATGTGGAAGACAGAAACTTTTTCGTTTCTTCTATACCATTCATGTGATTACTTATAATTAACATGTCGTCAATATACAAGCATATAAATGTCACGTAATCATCACACAATTTAGAATATAAATATCTATCTATGTTATTATGTTTAAATTTGAATGATATTATTGTTAAGTCAAACTTCTCATGCCATTTTTTAGGTGCCTGTTTCAAACCATATAATTTTTTTACTAACTTGCATACCTTATATTCATTTTCAGGTAGAATGAACCCTTCAGGTTGCTCCATATAACCTCCTCATCGAGATCCCTATTTAAGAATGTCGTCTTGACATCCATTTGATGAACATCAAAGTCATATATTTAAATCAATGCAAATAATATACTAATCGATGTTATTCTAGCTACCGGTGCATAAGTGTCAAAATATTCGATTCCTTCATTTTGTCAATATCTTTTGGGTACTAATCTAGCCTTGAAAGTATTTAGAGAGCCATAACCATTATAATTCCTCCTAAATACTCATTTACATCCAATATGTTTGGATCCTAGTGGTAAATCGACAAGTTCACACGTATTATTAGACATTATCAAATCCATTTCATCTTTAATTGTATCTTTCTAGAAAATGCTATCACGAGAAGTCATAGCTTCTTTATACGTTTTAGAGTCGATTTCCACTTGTAGAATAAAAGGAATTTTTCTTACAATATTCAACTCATTTCCTTCTACTAAGTAAAAGGAGATAAGTTGAGAATCAATTTTATCCGGTCCTAAAGACTTCTCAACTTGAGTTCTCTTGCTTCTTTGTGGTTCACAAGATTCATCAATATCTCCTAGGTGCAGAATATTGGTAAACTATGCCATGTTGTTCACAAAACAAGTTAAAATCGCGAGAAAAGTATTCACCATCTCTATCACTTCTTAAAGTCTTTATTTTATTGCCTAGATGGTTTTCAACTTCATTTTTATACACTTTAAACATATTAAACTCCTCGTCTTTTTATTTCATCAAGTAAATATACGTGTATCTAGGGAAGTCATTGTAGAGGCCTGAGAAATAAAATGAAATTAGGCTATTATGTTGTAATGATCTTGCACCACGAGCCTATCTCATTCAAGAATCGAGTTGTGGAATCTCAAACTATTTAAGATTTTGAAAGCCCAAGTCATAAATTAATTAAAAATCCAACAATTTAAGAGATTAAGTTTAAGTAAATTTGATTACAAAAATTTAATGAATAACTGGATTGAACCAATGGTCATCTACATGGTATTTCATATAGGCAACCCATGTTCGAATCACCATGTAAATATTTTTATAAAACTTTTTTATGAATTTTTTTAGGTTTAAAAACTCTTCAAAATCTTAGTTAAAGATCCAATTTAACAAATTTTATGATAATACAACTCCCCCCATTTAGTTTTTCATTAAAAAGAAAAGTTACAAGAAGTGGAAGGTCACTTTTTCACTACATCCTTCCTTAAATCTGAATTTCATCTTATTTTCTCTCAAAAAATATATTTTATGTCAATTTAAACTAAGAGAATAACAAGGGTGAGAAGAAGAAAGACTTTCTACACATTTGTTCTTTGATATCCAAGAAAATTCAAGGTAAGCTGAGGTGCAAGTGTTATTTCGTTTTCAAATTTGATTTTTCGTTAAAAGTTGAATGAAATGGTACCTTTGGGTATGATACTTCAGCACTACTATAGTTTGAATGATCATTCTCCAGCTCTACATGTTATGATAATGTTATAGATATTGAATTTTGCCAGAAATCCATCTACGTACGACGGTATGAATCCATGGTTCGAATTTTCTAATTTGATTACGAAATATACCGATGATATTTATTGAGTTTCAAACTCATGGGTTAAATCTCTTCTTACAGTTTGATTTTGTTCTTTTGTTGGGGGGCACGGATGATGGTGGTTGAAGATGCAATTTGACATAGAGAAGCCGATGATTTAATATCTTTAGTTGATTATAAAATGTTTATATATATTTTTTTTAAAATTGGATTCCTATAGATATCATGTGTGGATCTATTCTACGAACATTTTTTGTGAATAAATTATGTTTAAAAGTAGATATGCGTCACAAGAATAAATTTACAAATCGCCGTTTACAAAAAATATGTTAGCGATTTAAAATTTTGCTGTCTCTTTAAAAACTTTATACAAAATCGTCTTTAAAACTTTATAACTCCTTTGTTACTTAGCATTTTTATACAAAATTAGTGGTGTTAGATAGCCTCATAGGTTAGCTATTGAATAAACTTGGAATCATGTCAATCCGATATCCGTAGAATTTTATATGTTGCATAAAGTAAACTACATTAGGTAGAATCGCCCTTTTTTCAGCTTCTGCCTTGACTTCAAAAAATTCATAACTCGATCATTACTTGAAATTTCTGAATGAAACTAATTGCATTTGATAGTCTCATGGATTAGATACTGAATAAATTTGAAATCATGTGGTTTTGATGTCTGTGGAATTTTATATTTCATTTTAAGTTAATTGCACCGGTTTAACTTTCAACCGGGTCGCTGCTGGATTTTGAAAAAATATTTTAATACCTCATATGATGTCGATGGAAGCTAATTTTTTACTATGTCATATTATAAGGAGTTTCCTACTTTACATTAAAATTTGATGAAGTTTCAAGGTTGATAGCTATGCAAACAAATTTATTTTGATAATTACCGTTTGAGATAAAAATTGAAACAGCAATATTGCTTCTAAAGTTTTGCAAGATTTCACGTCAATAGTGGTTACATGCATATACAGTACGATACAAATATGGTATGCTGAAAATACGGTATGTTGCATAATAAGTGTATTTTATACACTTATTTAGGCCATTAAGATTGAGTATTTGTTAAAGAATTTGATGAAATATGGCTTAATCCTATTTATATATTGTGTGTAGGTTACAATCAATGGAAGATACGAGAATAAAGAAAATAAACAGGAAAAACGACTCAATTATATCAAGGCAAAGTATGGGGACTAGAATGCAATAATCCAAAAGTTGAATCGGATCAAAGAACGATGAGTTGAGAACACCAAGAATCAATTGGAGTTGAAGAAAAGCTAATGGGACAAGAAATTTTGGGAGAGGACCAAAACACACACTTCAAAATGTTTAGGGACCAAATTGTGAATTGGCCCCTAAAATAGTTGAACAGTGCATACACATAGGCTTGCAGGTCGTGCGTACGCACGATTGGAAAATTTGACTTTCGAAGCTAAATTGATGATACTATGCGTACACACCAAAATGTACTATGCGTACGCATGGTTCAATTTCGACAAAAAAATTCTGTTTTCTTATTTTATTTTGGAAAGTCTTGGTTTACAATTTTTTGCACGATATTTATACCAAAAGTCAACAAAAACACGGGAGAACCTAATTTTTATCATCTTGGAAGCCGACAAAGAGGAAAAGGAGAGCGGGATATACATTGAAGAAGAAGAAGGCTTCATCACTTGAATCCGGAATTGAAGGCATAAAGTCGAGGATTTCAGATTCTTTTCATACTTTAATGATTCGGGTGATATCATTCCTTTATTTTTCCTGTTTTTCATATATTAATATGCTAGGTTAAATATCTTTGTATTGGATGGATGACAAAACTATTTGACTTCTCGTTTTTTAATTCAAGACCTTATGTTTTTATTTTAATTCTTGCGTTGTGGTTTCTATAATATGCATATCTATATTGTTTTAATGTTTGCGCACCATTAGGACAATAAGTTGCTTATTCGTAGCGTTGAAAAACTCACGATAGGTAGAACACTGTTATTGGAACGCACGAACAACGAATGTTAGGAATAATATTTGTGACGTGTGTGATCATGTGTGATAATCCTATACATCAATGCATGTTTGTCATATAATTTCGGACTAGGAATATGATCGTTTCGTGGTAATCATAGGTTTATTATATCTTGGGAAAGAATAATAAATATCTGTGGAATTATCGATCGTCACAATTGCATGAGTTGAAATAATTGCCATAGGTCGAGAATTAGAACTAAGAGTTGATCAGTGGCGTTGGAAATCCAATACATTCACTCATCTAAACTCTAAAACAAATTCTCATAAATTTTGCAAATTTTTAGTTATAGAACTTAATTAGCTATTCAAACAAACGTCAACTTTTAGTTAATTATTTAATTATATCGAATACACTGGAATTAGACCTTTTTCCCTGTGGGACGACAACTCTTTCATCACAATTATTACTTGTACAACGAACCTATACGCTTGCAGGATTTTAACGAACAACGTTGTCGGGGAATAACGGTGTTAATTTTAGTTATTAGATATTTTAAATTCGTTTATTTTTATTTTTATTTGTATTTCATTTTTAGTAGTTGCTTTTATAGGCTACCATTACACCGTTTAGTTCTTTTGTGTCTTGACATTTCTTAAGCGACATTAGTTTATGCAAAATCCTGAGGAACCAAATCTCTTCCCAATCGATCACGAAATAGAAAGAACATTTAGAAATCATAGACGAGGTCAACATCAAGCAAGGAGAATGGCTGATAACCAAAATCAACCACAACATCAGGTCTAGCTTCACGAACAAATACCGCAGCCAAATCAGTCGAGAGCTATCCAGAACGAAGTCCCTATCTTAGTTGGAGATTACGTCAATCCAATCCCTGCACCAGTGCAACCAGCTGTAGTATATCCTCCCTTTGGACAACCTAATTTTCACCTTAGACCAGATGTCATCAATTTGTTCCAAAATCACCAAGACATCAAGTTCTTTGGAAAAGCCACAGAGATTCCTTATGCATATATTTTGGCATTTCTTATGCTATGTGAGGTAATCAGTCACGAAAGAATATCAACAGATGCATTTTGAATGAGATTATTCCCTCATACCTTGAAGGACACTACAAGGGAATGGTTTCTTTGCTTACCACCTGGGAGAATTCAATCTTGGAACGATATGATTCAAAAATTCACGATGAAATTTTTTCCACCTTCTTGAGTTCATCAAGTCAGGAATGAAGTCCATACTTTCAAGTAGAAAGAGTTTGAAAGCTATCCAGAGGCATGTGAAAGATTCAAGAATTTTTTCAGGAAATGCCCCAACCATGACATCCCTAAAAAGGCTCAGCAATATCTATTCTACTACGGTCTAAAGCAAGAATTCAGAAATATGATAGATGTTTCTACAGGAGGATCGGTGATGAAACTTGATGTGGATGAGGCATATGACTTGTATGAAAGAGTAGCTGAGAATCAATCGACGTGGCCTACCGATGGGGAAACTCCAAGGAAGACAACAGGACTGCATAATGTAGATGCAGTAACAGCGCTGGCTGCACAAATGGAAGTTCTTACAATGAAAATGGATAATCTATCTCAGTCAGTTAATATGGTACATCAATCTCCACCGGTCTGTGAAGGTTGCGGAGCTGATCATAATACTACGCACTTTCCTCTGGCATCTACACATGTTAACCAGTCTGAAGAAGTGAACTATGCGCAGAACTTTCAGAGACAGCAAAATAATCCCTTCTCCAACACATTTAATCCGGGTTGGAGAAATCATCCAAACTTTTCGTGGTCTAGCAATCAGGGACAAGGACAAGGAGGTAACAATCAGAATATTCCAACAGCAGCAACAACAGCAAGGAAAGAAACCATCTTTAAAAGATTTGCTATCTCAGTACATTACTAAAACTGAGACCAACTTTCAAAATCAACAGGCCTCAATCAAGAACTTGGAACAACGGGTGGGATAGATTGCAGCCGCATTATCAGTAGAGCTCAAAGGACGTTACCTAGCAATACTGAGACAAACCCTAAGGAGCAGGTCAAAGCCATAACTATAAGGAGTGGAGTCCAGCTACCAGAAATACATGTAAAGCGGCCCGTAACTATCACAGAAAAGGCACCTACAACGGGTGAAGAGCAAGTTGATAAATTAGACAAAACAACAGAGGAAAATCAAATCGAGTCATCGGGCAGTCCACGAGTTAAGACAAGCACTCCTGTCAAAGCATATGTGCCTCCAATCTCATTTCCACAAAAACTACAAAAACACAAGCTAGATAAGCAGTTTCAGAAATTTTTGGATGTATTTAAGAAGCTACACATTAACATATCGTTCGCTGAAGCCCTAGCTCAAATGCCCAACTACGCCAAGTTTATGAAAGACATCTTATCAAACAAGAGGAAGCTAGAAGACAATGAAACGGTCATGCTTACTGAGGAGTGCAGCGCAATTTTCCAACACAAATTACCACCGAAACTAAACGACCCAGGGAGTTTTACTATTCCCTGTGTAATATTGGTAATTTGTAAATAGATAAGGCATTATGTGATTTAGGAGCTAGTATCAATTTAATGCCCTTATCTCTTTTCAAGAAACTAGGGTTGGGGGAAGCAAAAGCGACTACAATTTCACTGCAGTTAGCCGATAGGTCAATCAAGCACCCACGAGGTATTTGTGAAGATATTTTGGTCAAGGTCGATAAGTTTATCTTCCCAGTGGACTTCATTATTTTGGATATGGAAAAAGATCGAGACGTCCCCCTCATATTGGGTCGCCCATTTTTGGCTACGGGAAGGGCTCTGATAGATGTGCAAAAGGATCAGTTAATATTGAGGTTAGATGAAGAGGGACTGACAATCAACGTGTTTAGAGCCTTCAAATTTCAGAATGAACTAGATTCTTGCATGCAGATTGACATAATAAGGGAAGCAGTGTTAGAGGCATTTAAACTTGATCACCCTCAAGATCCGCTTGAGGCTTTCTTGGTGCATTATCAAGAATCACCATCGAAAAAAGAGGAAGCAGAAGACTGTGCACATTATTTGGTAGCCATACCACCACTTTTCAAGCGGCCATGTTTGGAGCTCGGCGAAAGACCCACAAAACCTCTACCATTTATACTACAAGCTCCAACTCTTGAACTTAAACAATTGCCCATTCATCTGCGCTATGCTTATCTGGGGCAAAAGAATTCGCTCCTAATAATTATCTCGAACAATCTTACAGAATTAGAGGAAGATCAACCGCTAAGAGTACTTCGGGAGCACAAGACAGCATTAGGATGGACTATATCAGACATAAAAGGAATCAGCCATTTGCTTTGCATGCACAAGATACTGATGGAAGATGATTCAGTTGAGCATCAACGCAGATTAAACCCGAATATGCAGGAGGTGGTAAGAAAAGAAGTATCAAAGCTTTTGGATGCAAGGATAATCTATCCCATATCAGACAGCCATTGGGTCAGCCCAGTACAAGTAGTGCCGAAAAAAGGAGGAATCACGGTGGTTCCAAATGAAAATAACGAGCTCATCCCGACATGGACAGTCACTGGTTGGAGAGTTTGCATCGATTATCGCAAACTCAACAACGCCACTAGGAAAGATTACTTTCTCCTCCCTTTCATTGACCAAATGTTGGAGAAACTCGCTGGACATGCATACTACTGTTTCTTAGATGGTTATTCGAGGTACAACCAGATTTCTATAGCACCGGATAATCAAGAAAAGATAACCTTTACATGCCCTTATGATACTTTTGCTTATAGGAGGATGCTCTTCGGCCTTTGCAATGCTCCGGCCACCTTTCAACGTTGTATGATGTCGATTTTCTCAGACATGGTGGGACATATTATTGAGGTGTTTATGAATGATTTCTCAGTGTTTGAAAAATCATTTAAGGAGTGCCTTGAACACTTGGGAAAATTGCTGCAGAGATGTGAAGGCGCAAACCTTGTATTAAATTGGAAAAAATGTCATTTCATGGTTCGGGAAGGGATTATGTTAGGACATTTGATTTGAGCACGGGGTATTGAGGTCGATAGAGCTAAGATACAAGTCATTGAAAAACTACCACCGCTACTAACAGTTAAGAGAGTTAGAAGTTTCTTGGGTCACGTTGGGCTCTACCGTCGTTTCATCAAAAATTTTTCCAAAATCTCGAAGCCATTAAGCAATCTATTGGGAAAAGGGGCCTCATTTCACTTTTTTGAGGAGTGCTTGACAGCTTTCAACATCTTAAAGGAAAAATTGATTTCTGCTCCAGTATTGGCTTTCCCAGATTGGAATTACCCATTCGAACTTATGTGTGATGCCAGTGATCATGCAGTGGGGGTGGTGTTGGGTCAATGAAAGGAGAAGAATTCCCATGTTATACACTATGCCAGTAAGACTTTGGATGAGGCTCAAATGAATTATGCGACTACAAAGAAAGAGCTTTTGGCAGTAGTGTTCGCCGTTGACAAATTTAGATCATACTTGATTGGGTTAAAAGTGATTGTCTATACAGATCATTCAGTCTTAAAATATCTACTAAGCAAGAAGGATGCGAAGCCGAGGCTTATTCGATGGATACTCCTATTGCAAGAGTTTGATTTGGAGATCAGAGATAAAAAGGAGAGTGAGAATGTTGTGGTAGATCACCTTTCTCGCTTTGAATCGCATAAGTCAAACCCTACAGTGGAGATCAATGAAGTTTTTCCTGATGAAATGCTTTTTTAGATTATCATTACACTATGGTACGCCGATTATGTCAATTATTTGGCCCGCTCGATCACCCCAATAGACTACTCAAGTAACCAAAAGAAAAAATTCTTCAGTGACCTAAAACACTACTTTTGGGATGATCCAATTCTTTATAGAAGGGGTCTAGATCAAATCATACGTCGTTGTGTGCCAGAGGTAGAGCAGCATCAAGTGTTAGAGTCATGTCACTCTGCACCGTATGGGAGCCACTTCGCAACAACCAAGACAGTAGTAAAGGTACTACTTTCGGGTTTCTATTGGCCTACGTTGTTCAAGGACGCACATTTTATGGTGAAACATTGTGACAAGTGTCAAAGGACCGGGAATATCTCAGGAAAGAACGAGATGCCTTTAAACAACATTTTGAAAGTTGAAATTTTCGACGTTTGGGGCATTGACTTCATGGGACCATTCCCTCCCTCCTACGGTCAACAATACATACTAGTGGTAGTAGACTACGTGTCTAAGTGGGTTGAACCTGTAGCTTTGTCAACTAACGACGGGCAAGTGGTAACTCAGTTCATGAAGAAGAACATTTTCACTCGATACGGCACTCCCATGGCAATCATTCTAATCGATTATTTGCATCGCTGTTGGCCAAATATGGAGTAAAACACCGTGTCTCGACTCTGTACTATCCTCAAACTAGCGGGCAAGTGGAAATCTCCAACAGGGAGTTAAAGAAGATTCTCGAAACTATAGTCAATGCTTCCCGCAAGGATTGGGCTAAGAAACTGGACGATGCCCTTTGGGCTTATAGAATAGCGTTTAAGACTCCAATTGGCATGTCTCCATATCGACTGGTGTTTGGAAAGGCCTATCATCCGCCCTTTGAGTTAGAGCATAACGCATATTGGGCAACTCATTTGCTCAATTTCAATATGAGGGCGACAGGAGAAAAGAGGGTTCTACAACTCCATGAACTAGAGGAATTTCGTTTGGATTCATATGAGAATGCAAAGATTTACAAGGAAAAAACCAAGAGATGGCATGACAGACATATAAGAGAGAAGGATTTTGAAGTAGGCCAACAAGTATTGATGTTCAATTCAGGTCTCAAAACTCTTTTCTGGAAAGCTAAAGTCTAGGTGGTCAGGTCCTTTTACAGTAGTAGCCGTGTTTTCACATGGTGCTGTAGAGGTAGTATCTCAGGATGAACAGAGAAGGTTTAAAGTGAATGGACAACGGTTGAAAGCCTATTGGGGAGGTGACTACTCCAATGAGAAGATGACCGTACTTCTTAATAGTGCAGAGTAGTCTGAGCAACAAAGTCGAGATATAGACTATAAAAATAACGCTTATTGGGAGGCAACCCAATTCTCTTCTCTTTTATTTATTCCGCTTTGTTGCATTAGATTAGGATTTTTTATATGTTTTCTTTATTGCTTGGGTGTGTTAGATCGATTAGGTGTCATCCATTCATTGCTTAGTTGTTGATTCAATGCACAGATCATGCAATTTCATATTTGTTTTACACAAGTTTAGGGGAGTTCTATCATTCCAGACATGCAATTGGAGGGCATCACCAACATCTAGATAAAAAAAAAATGAGATGTTACAGTCATCGAGGCTGAAACGTGTACTTTTGGGTAAAGAATAACTTATAATCTATTGATTCCCGCATCAATTGCACATTTTTCGATCATAATGGTAAAGGTATTAGTTTGGGAGTGGATCACGAGTGGTCGGGGTCGGTTTAAACCAAAACGAACCTTTAAAGAGTTGGTGTTGAACTTCTATGTCATAATCGTTTTGCATATTTCTAAACTGTATTATGTCAAGCATTCGTTCGGGGGTAGGTATGGAGAGTCAGTTATTTAAAAAAAAAAAAAGGGTTAACCATGCGTAGGCACTGGTCTGCAGGCCGTGCGTACACACGGTTGGCAGATTGGCCCCCTGATGCCAGTCTGCTTGGGCTGTGTGTACACACGACCCAAGCCATGCATACGCACAGCCTAGTCAGGTGAGGGTTTAAATCCCTCACCCACGCACCAAGACCCCAAACATTTCTCCCTTCACCCACACACAAGCATACCTCTATTTCTCGACAAATCGGCGCATCTTCCCCCCAAGATTTCTTCATCCCTTCACTTGGGCATTACACATTGGCCACATTAGAGTAGCTTATGCATCAACATCATCCACTCCAACACCCCCAATTGCCAAGAACTCGAAGATAATATACTTCACTTTGAGCACTCGTGGGTTGCAATTTTTATTTTTTTCCAATTTTCGTGCATTTTGATGAATATTTTGATTATTGTGGAGGTTGGGCTTAGGTAGATGGTGGATTTTGTTTAATTTGATGTTAACATTGGTAGATTCAAAACAAAATAGGCATTTGGACATTCTTGCTACAACATTGCCCACAATGTATTTGTTTAATTGTCCCAAAAACTCATTGGTCTACATTTTAGCTTGAATTTTTGCACAACACTTGGGCTATCCTCAATTTAACGACACCTTATACTTTCTTGCATCCACTCCATTGTATAACTTGAAATTGAAGGGAAACTACACATTGTACTTACCACCCCTTCCACCGTCCTTCTGTGTTCTTTACCCACACATAGCACTACACTTTGCTCTTTATTTGGTACTCATGGTATTCTCTTGATAACAATTACCCCATTCATCTATCTCATTTGCTTATTTTGTGCCTTTTGCAGGAATGCCTCCCAAACGCACACGCGACGCTCCATCCACTTCAAAGGGGAAAGGCAAAGCCTCGACTTCGTCCAACCTGGGCTGCTCTTGAGTTAATGAAGGTGGCGTGCAAAAATTCCTAAGCCCCGAGCATAAGCTTCGATTTGAGCAAGTAGTCACCAAATAGATGATTTTATCGGAGCGGGAAGTGGTTTTGGAAGATTTCCTGAGGTTTGAAATTGAGACATTAATCCAACGTGCAGGCTGGGAAAAGGTGATAGCTAAACCATTTGCTATTTATCCTACACTTGTTCAAGAGTCCTACACAAATTTCAACTTCTCCATCGACGAGCCTGGGATCGATCACCAGCATCGAACCTGGGTGCGGGATAAATGGTTTATGTTCACACGTGAAGTCATTGATAAATATCTTGAATTGAATCGAGAAGGAATCATCCCGATACCACCAGAGCAGAATTGGCCAGAGTTAGCAAAGGTTTTATATGGAAGAGCAGATGCCTGGCCGCTCCGTCGACCGGATTTCTTATACAATAATTTAACTAAGTCCCTCATGGTTCTGATGATGTTTGTTTGCCACAATGTTGATCCCTCCAAGCATCGTTACAAGTTCGATCACACTAAAGCTGCTTTGCTCTACCATTTAGCTAGAGGGCTCAAATTTGACTTGGGTACTCACATCTATAATCTGATTTGTGCCCGCGCTGCTAAAATGGACCCATGACACACACTCATATTTCCAAGCCTTATCTGTGGAATATGCAGGGCTTATGGAGTATAGCTCCTACCAGCTGAGCAGGCAATACGTCCTGCTGCTCTAATCAACATTCTCTCCGCCCAAAACTCTTGGAGAAAAGTCAATCAGTACAAACAAGGACGACAAGATAACCAGGATGAGGTGGGCCATGAGGATGATGTTGACATCTACCCGGAACCGCAACATGAGCCACCAGCTGATGCCCCCGTACTACGACAGATGTTCGCGACGATGATCGGGCTGAGTAGGGATGTTCAACAGTTACAGCAATCATTTACTGCCCTGGATTTACGGGTACAAGACATGCAAACTGACATTGAGATTGTATAAGCCAGCGTGAGCAGGACTCAAGAAGATGTCTCTGATTTACGTCGAAGTACTGATAGGCTAATTGGGAGGTTGGACCGTTCTACTGGAATGATGGATGTCATGCAATTTTGAGCTGATCAAACTTACGACATGGTCCGTAATATGCAAATTGAGAGGGGCCAACTATCTGCTTTGATGAGGGAGATTCTTTCCCGTCTATCTCCGCCGCCACCTTCCGATTGACCAGGGGAGTCTCTGTTCTTTTCACACCCTCCTTTTTGCAGTATATTACTTATTGTGGTACATTGGGGACAATGCATCTGTTAAGTTTGGGGTGATTTAATCTTTTATCTTCACGTTTACTTCTTTTCGCATGATTTCGCTTTTCACATGAAAAAAAAATAAAATTAACTTTTGTGTGCTTGAGTGGGTTGGATGGCCTTGCTGGTAATGATGCATGCATTGGAACTGTGTAATTAACTGAGAACCGTGAAAGAATTATATGTTGAGTTAATTGACACTTGTTGATGTGAAACTTGATCTTTATTGAGCACGATATTTATATTTTGCATTATGAGTTGATGACTTGGTTTGTATAAGGAGAAAGTTGAACATAGTTGATTCAAACCCAAACCAACACAAATAAATAAGACCATAAAACCTCTTTTAGGAGAATTTGGAAATGATTAAACTAGTATAGAGAAACATTGAGATAAGTAGGGATTCCATGTGTGAAATGGTTGTGTGGATTATCTAAAGTCAATAAGACGAATTGAGACAAAAACCTCGAGTTAGGGGTCAGTTTCGAGAATAGGTGTTTAATAAGGGGCATTGCACTAATCTTGGCAATTAAAAGAAGTAAAAAGAACTTCTCTTCGGAGCCTTTTTGACTCGAGCAATTAAGCCTGCAACGATTTTTAAGACCTGGTGCTCTATGGTCATCTGACTTGGGAGTCACTGGCTGAAAACTCGCTACAGGGGTCACTTAGTCACTTAATGGAGAGAAGTATACAAATATATATATATATAATTGGGAATGAGCAGGTGCATGAAACAGAAGACGCACCAAGTGCCAAGATTAAGCCTCGAACAACTGTTTTAGGGACTTATACCTTTGACAATGGGTCATGAGCTCAATTGAGTCTTAGAAGCTGAAGTAATCAAAAATATGGGAGAATCCTTATGAGTCGAGATGTGAATCTATATTAGTTACGATCTATCCAAATGAGAGAGGGTAAGGATTAGA